GTACTTCGATTCTCGAAAGTTTGCTCCAGAAGTGCTGTCTTTGCACTGCTTCATTCGGCGAAGGCCTAACTTAGCTTCCTTTGCCCGGCTCAGGATCGACGTCTTGCTGGCTTTGTCAAGCTGACGGTAGATGGACTGCCCATGCTATTCTGTGCCTCGGGTGGTGGAGTTTATGGTATTTCATAGTGTGGAGTGAGCGCTTGCGCAGCGCTTGCACTTCTGGCCGCTCTCACCGTTTGCAGCCTCTCTGTTCTGTGCACGCACAGAAGCCAAGGCGGCGTTCACCTGATGACCGGCTCCCGCGACAAAGAGGGCAAGGTCCGTCAGCAGGCCAGATAATTCAGATGTCCATACTTGAATTTTCCATACCTGTATGCGCATGATGCGCAGTCGAGGCCGGGACAAGTCCTCTGTCAGATCTTTGATTCTGATTTCTCCTTTAGTCTCCTGCCAAGTCACGAAAGCTAGCTCCTCGGTGTGGAAGTTCTTGTTTAAAGCCTGCTTGTGCTGGGCCAAAGCAACTTGAGAAAGCCTTCTGCCTGGTATCTCAAAGGTGTCTTCCCGACAAGGTGCCCTACCCCCGCCATGACCTAAGAAGCCCCCCGCCCCCTTCTCACCTTAGGACCCTGCAGTTGTTTAAGCCCTAAAATTCAAAACTCTAAGCCCCTAGAACCCGACAAGCTCTACATAAACCCTAAAGCCCTACGGTCTAACATTCCAAAACCCTGAAGAATACCAGGCGTCGGCCTTCGGCAGCTGTAGTTCCGGAGCACTAGCTCTCATTCGCCCTGTCTCAGTTTTCTGTCAGGAGCTGGTCACGATTTCAGAGCTCATGAAGACCTGGGCAGATCCGGGAGCAGGTGCCTGCGAGGAAAGGTTCCAAGGCATTTCAAGAGATTTCAGGAGGCATTGAAGCCGATTTCACAGATGCCCGAACCCACATCTCGCGTAAACTGAGATCTCCAGTAGGACGTGAAGGTCTGCTTAAGGCTTTTGGCTATAGAGTGCATGTAAGACTATGTAAGATCTGAGCGAAATCGTATGCTGGCTTTAGCTTCGCATCACCGTTCTGCTTGTATGTTTTGCCAGGCTGGGGTTTTTGCTTGCTCCTAAAGCAGGTTAAAGTCTCTCCGGTCTTCACTCCTTAGGCATGCAAAGCAGATGTGTGGAGGATAGTGTGGAGGATAATAGTGTGGAAGAATTACGGTAACGCTCATTGTCCAGTGGGCGGCCTGTCACCAAGGAGTCGTTCTGTGTGGAGATTTCAATGTGAACTCCCGTGGTTTCGCAGAGGACGGGCACGGCCGCGTCTGCAGCTTGCATCACCTCAGTGCATGGACATACGTATGGTTTTCAGAGTGGCGGAAACGACTCCTGTCCACTTTAGCTCGAGATTTCCCGCGTGGCGGCGGGCTGCAGCCTCCAAGGCTGCTTGCTCTCGTGGAGGTGTGGCGTCCTTGTCTGGGGCCGATGGATTTGGCATGATTGTCCTAGGGATGCCTGGGGAGTATCGGTTGAATTTGAGCAGGCCGCGTCTGCAGCTTGCATCACCTCAGTGCATGGACATACGTATGGTTTTCAGAGTGGCGGAAACGACTCCTGTCCACTTTAGCTCGAGATTTCCCGCGTGGCGGCGGGCTGCAGCCTCCAAGGCTGCTTGCTCTCGTGGAGGTGTGGCGTCCTTGTCTGGGGCCGATGGATTTGGCATGATTGTCCTAGGGATGCCTGGGGAGTATCGGTTGAATTTGAGCATGGCTGCGAACCCGAGCGAGGCGGCCACGCACATGAAAGGTCGGCTTCAGTGCGACAGGGCGACACATGGAAATGGACAACAAAGGACCAAAACAAAACCGGAGCGAAATGCAAGATTGCATTGGAGCACGTCGCAGAACTCGTGCGGCCTGAAGCCCCCCCTATGCTTGGGCGCCTGCCTCTCTTACACGCTCCCTCCCTCTCTCCCTCCCTTCCTCCCTCCCTCCCTCCCTGAGCCGCCTGTTCGGACAGCTCGCTGTTACCATTGCCTGTGGCAATGGTCGATCCATTCGGCGCCGATGTGAAGCTCTCCCAGCCGATTCATCGCTGCGGGCCGAGCGGGCTGTAGTGTTCTCCGTTTTGGTGCTTGTGCCTATCGGCCGCTGTAGCCTTCTCCGCCCAATGTGGAGTCCTCCCTAGTGCGCCGTGGAAGTGTTGCCTTGCTCCGTCTTTAGAAGGCTCCTTTAGTTTGCATTCCTCCTTGGCCTTTCCGCCACCCACAAAGGTAGTTGTTGGTCGCCATGAATTGTGGTACTCGTCCCTGTTATTCAAGTCGGTCAATCAAGTGCATGCGTGCATCTCCAATCGTGCAAGGCATTGTGTTGCCATAGAAGGCTGCCTTCATAGTCATAGAAGCTGCGCAATAGCTGGCAGGAGCACATCTGGGAAGGAACTTGGACAGCAGGGCAATCTGTGACGTTCAGTTGTTCTGCCGCATGCCCCTGGTCATGTTTGAAGTCCACAGCACAGGAACTGGCTATGCGCGAGATCCCGACTCAAAGGCACTGAGAAAGGGAGGGAGAGCGAGAGTTTTGCTCGCGTTTCGGAGCAAACCCACCCTAAGCACCAAACTGTCACCTCACGCTACCTTACGAACCGATAGAGAGGGGTGTCCTCTTTGCAGCGAAGCTGTTGCGGAAGGAGCCTGGACTTGTTGTCAAGGGGGTGAGCTGCCCTTAGAAAAAGCGTTGGGCTCCCGCGCGGGAGAGTGAAATTGCGATCCATACATGTCGTTCTCCATGGAGCTTCCAGTTTTGGTAGCGTTCGCATGTCGTTTTGCACATCCCCTGTTAACCATGAAGCCTCGGGACTGTGTAGGTATCTCCATGTTCGAGGTTCCTTTCGTCTGTTTACACGTAAAGAAAGAGAACTTTGTCAGCCATGGACAACCAAGCCGTCGACGAGGAGATAACGATCAAATGCACTGCGTGCCTGTGGGGAGGCGGCAAGTGCAAAAAGCCCATACAAAGCAGATTGCAGAACCAACGGGGAGAAGAGATGCACTAGACAGGGCAAGGGGAAGATTGAAGCAGAGTAAGTGGTGCGGAAGCCAAGGATCAAACCGAAACCGTTGGAAGCATCCGCCAAGACGAGGGCGACATCGTCGCAGAGCAGAGCCATGGGGACAGAGATCAAGGGAGGAAGACGACGGCTGGAGAGATGGGGGGGGGGGAAGGGAAGACGAAACAAAAACAAGACAAAATCGACACCGCATCCCCCCTCCTGCCCCTAGAAGGCCGCATCTCGGCACCCAGAGCGGGGACGATGGAGAAGATAGAGGGCAGAACACAGACGAGCAAGGGGAGCCAGAGGAGCCAGAGGAGCGGAAGGAGAAGGAGACAGAGATAGTGAACAAACCAGCAGCCCCCCAGTCCAACTACAAAGACAATCAACAGAAGAAAGGCAAAGAAAGTAGAAAGCAGGAAACGAGGGTTTTGGGCTTTGGGAATCAATCCTCTCCCGGCATCGCAGTGACGGGACGCAGGCGAACCGTTTTCGCTGGCAGCGTGGTGGTGCTGCACCACTCACACTCCGCGACGCTTTCGATGCCTGCTATGGGGATGAGGTCCTTCTCCGGGTGGAGATTGCCGGTTGTGCGGACTTGCTCGGTAGTACCGGTGCCTAGCCGCAGATTGTCTGCCAGGCTACTATATTTTGGCCTCGAAATTCGTGTTGAAGTTTTCAGGCTCCCTAGACCCGAATTATCCTTAAGCTATGCCCTGACGGTCAGGCCTGCTCATCGACTCGAACTGGCACGCGCTTGGAAACCATTGTGCCCCAGCGCGCACAACTCTGGGAGTTTACGTTGTTTTGGATTTAGGCTTTGTGACGGTTGATAGTCATGGAACCCCTCATATTGTGTGAGGCCCCCCCTTTCCCCAAGAAAAGGGACCTCATCCCTTCATACGATGATTGAACCCCTCCCTAAGGTTTGAGTGGGCGGATTTGAGCTGCTTCCAAGATCTAAATATCAAACTGAAACTTATCTAAATGTAGTTGAAAATCAATAGGCTTCTTAGAACTTCTGGCCCCAGATCCGGATTTCTATATTGCGGGGAGGGGGGGAGGGTGGAAGGGCTGTTAATAATTGGGGGAAGGGATTGACTCCGAGTGCTCCAAGTCGGCCGGACCTCTCGGCTGCTCGATTCTGCCCCGTAGCATGCTCGAGCTTGAGGACTACATCTTTTTCGATGAGGAGGCGTTTGCTCTCTTGGACAGCGCTTTGGCAGGATGGACCAACGACCTGGAACTGCATGTATACATACTCTATAACTCTATATATATATATATACACACAATAAACATACAAGTATGTACTCTGTACAATGGTGCAGCAGAACTGTGTCACTAGTTGAAGGCAGTGCAAGGCAAAAGGTTCTCCGGTGCCAGACAGAATCTGGGAGGCATATGCAGTTTGAGAAGGATGGCGAAAAAACCACGTGCAATTTGCCACCTCTGAGTTAAGTGCTCTTTTCCGAGGCTCGAAGTTGCAGTGTCCTGAGCAGCCAATGCCGAATGCGGAAGAGCCCTCCGACCACATTCCACTTTGTGTGCCTTGGACTTTTGTTGCGTTTTTTCATGTGTTGTTTTTTCACAGTTTTTGGCTGACTGCCCTGCTTTAACGGACAAGATGCAAAGCCTAGGCCGTGCTCCAGCCAATCGGTGCGTGAAGCAGCTGCTGATGGTCTTCTGTCGGGCCTACTCGTTTCGGCATTCTTGTTGATGATAATTATATATAATTATTGCGTTTTGAAGAAGACCTTCGGTCTAGCATCTTACTCAGACTCAACCAGGCCTGCTTCATGCCTGCTAGTGGTGGCTCGTCATGCCGCTCATGGACCATTGCTGGACAGCATGCGTGATCAAAAAAGCTTCTGTGACCTCTGCCGGGTCCTGTCTCAGGTGATTTCGGAGAGTGCAATACTGGTTCGACCCGTGTACTGAGTTGGTTTCATTCTTCCTGGCAGGTCCTTGGCGGCCGTTGATGTGTCTGCTCATGTTCGGCGTCGAGAGGCCCCGGGCCTGAGAATTCTGGAAAAGGGTGGAATCCAGTCGATCAGGGGCGGTTTACATGTGTACAGACGACCAGCTGTGTGCCGGAGAATGAGTGGTATATGACATTGGTAGTCTGGCTGTTCCGATGCCTTCCAAGAGCGTTGTGGAAACACCCCGGTGCTCCGAGACTTAATTATGGGGGTTGCGCTAAATCGTAAACGCTTGCGCCGGGCCGGCCCAGAGCAGGGTGCAGTATGTGGAGACGAGACGAGGTGCCCAGCCTCAAGGGGTTGCAGGGGGATCGCAGCAGTCTCAGGGGGGTCCCAGGGATGGGACCCAGCAAATCCAGGCCGCAGGATCCAGGCAGGAGAAGTTGGCCCAGGCGAGATCCCCCACGGCATCCAGATCCGGGGTCTCACAGGGAGCGTTGGCAAGCGGGCAAGAGACGGATGTTGGTCTGCTTGTTCTAGACGCCTCTCGGCAAGAAGCCGAGGCGAATTGTTGCTGCCAGTAGATCAGAGACCCCAAAAGGGTCCACAACTTCCATCAAATGCCACGTAGAGCGACCTTCTGCCACACCTGCTTGCCCTGAACCTCGCAGCTTTCTGTTGTGCTGCGCGTGCCTCAGCCCGTCAGCATGTCATACGATGTCATGCCAAATCTTGCCATGCGTGGTGGAAGTAACTAGTTTCTTGAAGCCAGAACATGATGCTTGCCAGGTCTCTACCTGCAGTTGGTCAACGACCTTGCAGTTGAAGCAGGCTCCGGTCCAGCAGCATTTGAGACAAGCCCTGCCTGCAAGCCAATATGGGACGCCGTGTACGTACAAGTGATCCCTGCTGTCTTTCACTGCAAGTAAGATCTGCTAAGTGTACTGCTTGGTTGCAAACGATTTCACCTGCCAGGCACCGCTGCGATTCCTGCTGGCACCACTCCGCCTACGACATACACTAAGTACCGTTCAGGCTGCTGCTAAGCTGCCATGTCGTGCAGGTGTAGCAAGACCAGTTACCAGTTGAGCTATTTGAGCTCAACGTCACTCGCGCCAATGTGTGATCTCTGTGGAGGATGTGGCTGCTGTCCTGGAGGTTGGTGCAGAGAGACAAAGCCAAGGTGAGATGATGCCTTGCTTGTCACGAACTTGCAGATGCCCATCGGCTGCAGCTCCTGAGATTGGGGGCCGCACAGCTTCAAACATTCTTGCAGGACAGGCAGGGGATGCCCACCCGGAAGACCATGCGGTGTCCAACCGGGAGAAGGCGCTGCGCTCGCCCTGTTTCTTTCTCCTGAGGCAGCCTCTTGCGGCTGAGTAGCTGTTGTCGAACTTCGACCGCTGCCTTGACGCTTGAAAGTTCCCTGGCAGGAGGGTACATCATCTGCTGGAAGCTGAGATTGCTTTCGCAACAGCCTCACGTCGCCAAACAGGCTCCCAAGAGCAACTGCAGTTGCTTGGAAGAAGGCCGTAGCAGCATCCCTGCAACAGCCGGCTCTCCTTGCGCTTCCCCATCGGCCTAGACAGACCTTGCACTCTCGATTCGCACGCTGCTTAAAATGGTTCTGCGAACAATCAGGACAGCACAGGATTTAGAAGACGCCTGATTTTGGTGAAGGGCAGCTGAGAGATCTGTCGGATTGCAGATCGGAACTCCGCGAACCCTTCGTAGTTGAACGCGCTGACCAGGTCGATGTGATGTCGCTAGAACTCGACTTGGACGTGGCGGCCACTCGATTTCAACCAGCCTGGTAAAGGGTCAAGTGAAGTCGAGCTACTTATCGTCCCCGTCACTTTGCAGCAAGGTATTGAGCAGAGTTACTGTTCCAGCGACGAGACGTAGCTAGCAATGAGAACTTATGAGTATCTCGTTGGGCCCAGTGTGAGACCAGAAAACAATCCTCAGTTGGTCCCAATCTTTATCTCAATCTTGCATCGCCCGAGGCACCTGTGCTGCATTGGCAGGAGCATCTGGAGGAAGCTTTCATTCTACGTCGGAAGCCACAGATGAAATAGCTCTCAGATTGGAGAGCGCATTGTGGCAGATTATTTTCGGGGCAAGTACAGGCAAATACCCTCTTGCCCCTGTGTCTGAGGCTTCGGCCGTGTCCGGCTGCGCACTGTAGAGAATAGCACGGAGCTGGGGCCTTGTGCTTGCGGCGTGTGCCAGCTGCCACGGCGCCTCCAAATGCGTTGACTAGTACCGTGGTACTCGTACCATCTACCTACACGTCCGATTCCAATCTGCTTCTTGTTGCGGTGCTGTCCGATCTACCCGTCCTTCCACCCTTGTTGCGGTCACGGTTGGTTTCAGCAGCATTTTTGAGCCTGCATCTTTTGTTAGCGTCGGTTTTCAACATTGCACTTTTCGGTAGCGCGCATGGTAAGTATTGACAGCACCTCTCCTGGCCGGTTGAAGCTGTAAGTATGTTGGCACTGGAAAATGCGTCCTCTCGCACTGGCTAGATTCTGCTTCGGTGATCTTCGATGTTTTGCACCTTGCCAATGTGTTTCACATGCAGGTTTCAGGGCCTCACCTGGGAGGGCTTTACATATTTGGGTGGTTGAGCAGTTGCAGTAGACCTCGGGGTGCCAAGGCCTCTTCGCGTGCCTGAGCCTGCCGAGTTCCCTGCCGCTGCAGCAAGTGCGACAGCTGCGCCAGCAGCATGGTGTCTGTTTGAGGACATCTCAGTTACTCACTGTTTGTGATGTCTGCGCAGCAGAAGACCACGGTGCTCGTTGTGGGAACCTGATCTCTGCAAGACTCTGGCATGCAGGATGCCGGCATCGTCCTCGGCCAGAGTGATGTCCTGATGTTCGGCAAGGCTCCAGCTTAAGTCGAATCAGTTTGACAGCAAATGACCCATCCTTGCCCAAAGTGAAGCAAGCTGGACCAGGCTGCTTTTTGTGCTTGTGCCTGCTATGTTAGTTGCTGCACAGGTGGCACTGCAACTGCGACGGACTGAGGAGGGCCACTACGAGCTCGCAGCAGGTGTAGGAGGCGAGAAGTCAGCCTCAAGCAACCACATGAATCAGTCTCATCACAGTAGCACGCAGTTCATATTCGAGACGTGGCCGTAAATGCAGGATTCGGGTTGGACAGTTTGTGCCTACGCAGGTTGCCGGTGTGGACTGCTCAAGGTTTTCTCAGAGTAGGAGCGTGTCCAGTTCAGGGCCATCGGAACTCGGCCCAAGCGTTGCTGCGAGGCATCGAGGGGTCCCTTCACACTGAGCTGTCCCGGCGAGTGGCCAAGCTTTCCGAGGCCAGGAAGCTGCAATAAGCATTTCCAAGCACTTGTTCGAGTGTATTCAGGAACCTAGCTACGAAATGCTACGATGTCCGACAGGGTTCGAGCCAACATTTTTCCTTGTCTCATGACAGGCATCAGAGTTGACTTCGCGGGTGTGCTAGAACCAGCCTCTTCCCACGAAGGTCATGAACTTCTTTGCGTTTCGTTCTGAAGCGCGATCAATGGGATCCTTCAGGTCTAAACTAAACCGACCAACTCTGTGCCTCTGTGCGAGGCAATGCGAGCATTGGTCAAGGAAGCTTCGGAAGGCCACGCGTTTGAACCCAGAGTCATTGGAGTATATTGGAGTGTATCAGTGTATACAGTAATGGGTCGTGGACCTGCCTCAACTATAGGGTTGAGGGTTTCAAGGTTGCTTTGCAATTCGCAGATCTAGGATGCAGGCTACCTGTAAGGACCTAAGGTCCGTCCAGTAGAGGCTAAAAATGTCAAAGAGATGCTCTCCGCACGCCTCGAGAAGCTCAGCCCAGATCGCGCCGCCATCGCTGCGCTCCGCCGCTTTCGCGAGGCGTCACAGCCCAGGTGCCTGAGTCAACAAAAATAAAGATGCTGTGGAAAATTTGTGCGCTTGCTTTCTAAGTGCAAAACGCTGCGCGTCGCCTCGCCCAGACCTCGCCCGACACGGAGCGTTTTGCGCTTGCAGGAGATCTCGCTTCTATTCCGCATGGGAGAAGCTTGAGATCTACGGGCCGGCACAGGCACTGAGTTTTCAGCTCCAGCGTCTCTTCTCGGCATCGGCAACCTTTTGGAATGGTGTGGGCGCTTGTGGCGTAACAACAGTTGTCGCGGCAGTACACTGCAGTGCCTGACAGGTGCTGGATAGAAGCACGGAGGTTTCTGGACAAGTGACCGAGGAAGCTCTTGTGACTTGTGCCAGGATAGTCCATGAATGTCCATGATATCGACTTTCTCCGTTCGCCTGCCGGAACGGGTAGTGGACAGGTGCTCTCGGAGTAGGGTGGAGGTGGGTGGTCGTTGTGCCGCGTGCTGCGCCCCTTCGTTTGCAAATCTTTGTTGGTGGTTTCTGCAGTATCGGTTTGCTCCATGCCCTGCAGGATGAAGCACCTTCCACAGCGGTTGCTCCGACACGAGAGGAAGAGGAAGAGGCACTGCAATTCTTGCAGCTCTTGCAGAATGTACGAGTGTATCTGGGCTGCCGCAGTAGACAACCTGACGGCAAAACAATGTGCTCCTCAGAAGCAGGCCTTTGTTGGTTATGGCATCCGTGCACCCAGTGTCCCCGCGGTCGTCAGCGCTGTGCCTTCGCTGGCATTGGGATGATGTAGGGGCCAAAAAAACCAGGACCTGGTGTCTAGCAGGCATCGGGATCATTGGCGATATGAAGACCCCGCAGTCTCAACAACGCAGTAGCTCGACATTCAAACGGTCTCAATGCCCCCAGGTGCTGCACCTTGAGAGTGCCTCGCTGCGAATTTTCGGGCAACAGCCTCGAGGCATCCCTGTGGTCGAAGATGTTCGAAGAGTTTTTATTACCTTCGCCTCTGCTGCTGTGTCTTGGGGTGCCATGAGGCTTAGGGTGGCCAGCTTGGCGCGTCCACCTTGCTGTGGTTGCAAGCAGCTGTTTCTTGCAATGAAGGTACGCACAGCTTCGCCGTTGCGCATGCTTCGCTGGAAGGTGCCGGGTCTTTCGCCATCTGTACCATTGTGAGTTGACGTTGCTTGGCACGTCGTCCTGCGCGAGTCACTTCAGCTCGACTGTTGCAGGAGTCCAGCTGCGCGTGCAGCTTCTCTGCGAGCGACCAGGCCCTCCAGGTACTGTAGGGGTCTCTCGCAATTCTGGTGACTTATGCGTGGCGATCCTTTGCCAGCAGTAACTTCGACGCCCATGTGTCACCTTACAATGCCCTGACTCACGTTAAGTCACTGGCCGAAGCATAACAGCATTCCTCAAGACTGGATTACAACAATCTCCAACAGGCGCCACCGCCAGTGCCCTCTACACCTCGACGCTCGGCTGGCTGAGAATGGTATGGCAGTGGAGTTTTTGATTGGCTTTGGATTGCTGATATTCAGATCGGAGTGTTCGATCATGCTGCTAATCTTCAGACTGGATGCCACGCTCTTGACGCTCTTGAGCCCTGAAGTCAAGAAGGCAGAATCCTGACTACCCGTGGCATCATTCGACGAATGTTCATATGCAAAGGGACTTTTGTTGGCCTTCGCCAGGGGTTGCAGAACATACCGGATGTGGTCTATGACGTCCTTGAAAGTGATTTCACTTTGGGGTTTAGGTTGCAGCTACAAGCCGCCAGCCTCTCACTTCGCTCCCGACGGCCACTTGGCAGTGGCGGCTCAGGGTAGGGGACGATGAGCACATTGGGGTACAGTGGCTACTTAGTTGCAGGCTGTCAATATAGGGGCACGCCCGAACCTTCGACGTTTGTCATGGGTTGGACTTTCAGGGTTTGAGTGAACGGTCGAACGGGCAGCGGAGTGAGAAGTTATGGTCACACTCGCTGCGTGTTCTTTTATTCCACGCCGCCTGAATCCCAGAGCGCTGTTGCATCTGCGGCAGTCTACAATCCCAGGCTTCTTACTCCCAGAGCTACGGGCGCTGTTCTGCCTGGGCCCTGGTGGCGAATGTGCCCCCCCCCCCCTCCCCCCACCCTTTTGCAGCAACTTCTCCATGGCCATGGCATGATGTTGGTGGGGGTGCGGGGAAGGGGGGGGGGGGCTGCAGACGCCCCGATGTTCTGGAAAGGACTCAGATGGGTTTTGCTACGTCGTTCTTTTTGCAGCAATAGCTCCATGGCAAGATGTTCTAAGAAAGCACGGGTCCGCCGTTCCAAGGGGGGGGCACAAACCCCCTCCCCCCTCCCCATCCCCTTGCCAACACAGTTTCGCGTCAATTCCTCTTGACAATGGTGCTTGTATGATGTTCTTAAATGAACGCAAGCGATAGTTGGGGGGCGACCCTTTTCATTCTCTTGCTTGTTCTCTACTTCTGTTACTTCTGTTTTGCTTATACTTATGCTTGATCCACTTTCCACATGAGCTCCTCTTTCCACACAAAATACAAGAGCCCTTCCCCTGCCACAAAGACAAAACAAGCCGTGGTGCCAGGTCCCTGAATGTCCCTGAAAGATTCGTGGTAGGCTGCAACTTCGTGTAGTCCGTTTTAGTACTGGTCAATGCTCGTGTGACTGGCTTTGAAACGACTCATGTTGAGTATGGTTTCTTAAAAGGAAAGGGTGCGCGGCTTGCGGAAACCCCATTCGCAAACACTGCGCAAGCACTCACATGGGTTTTGCGGCATTTCCTTTTGACAACTTTTCACAAGAAGCCTCCGGGTTGAATCCAGGACCGGGTTTGCAGGTCTATGTACGGCTCCGGGTCCGCATCCGGATCAGGGCGTGCCTGGCTGAGGCTTGAAAGCTCTGCCTTGGTGCCGCTGCAGGCAGCGGAACGAGCACCACTTTTCGGTGACACGGCGGCACAGGTTCCCTCGTCATGGAAATCTCACGGGGCAATCAGGGCATCCCCAAACTCACGAACTCCTCATCGGATCCAAAGCTCGTTCCTTGCGGAGTCCCTGCAGTGTCTTGCGCCCCGTACCTATGGCCTGTGTGATCGTTGGTGGTAGCTCAGCTCGCCGGAACTGAGGCGTGAAGTTGCAGCAGCTGGCAGTACTGTATCGCCAACGTGACAGTGTGCCTTGGCTGGCGCAAAGGAGCAACCTAGAGAAGCTAAAGCGTCGAGAATGCTGAGTGAAGTAGAAACCAAAGGAAGTCGGCTGCAAATGCACTGCGTCAGCTTCTTCGAGCATGCCAGGAACACTGGAGGGCTTTGTCATACTTGGCCAGTCTAAGTACCTAAAGATGTGCTTGTGGCAGGCCACGCGTATGTGGAGGTTGTTAAGAAGTTGTGAGTTCTTCTGGGTCTTTTAAACTACACAGTTTGTACACTGTAAAGCAGGCCCCAACAGGCCCCGCCGGGCTTCTTTATTGAGGATGGCCCCTATATTCAGGAACATGCTCAGGGCAGGTGGTCGGGCATGGGCAGCATCAAGAACGAAGGGAGTGTCGGCAATGAAGGGATGCAGGGTGTTGGGGCAAGGATGTTCTGGGGTTGTTCTGTTATGTTTTGTCGTTCTTTCGACCCACACCACCGTAACTGACACTCACAAGGGTGCCAGGTTTCTTGACTAGATTGACTAGATGATGCACGGATTGGTCAGCATCGTTCCTGAAGTAGTATGAAGTAGTGTTAAGTAGTGCCCAGTGGTACGCGATGGTGGGCCTCAGGCTGCGCTCATCGGCCTCCTGCGTTCTGTCTGGAGACCGCTGCAGGTGCCGATGGAAGTTTATGGGCTTCTGCGAAGAGCTTCTAACTGAGGGTGACTTTGAGGATGTTCGGCCTGAAGGATCGGAATAGTTGTTTCGCGAAGTGGCCAGCATTTCGGGGGGGGGGGGGGGGGGAGGGGGGGGTTTCTGTCTCTGAAGGCAGCGAATGACGTACCGGGCAGTCAGAAGAGGCCGGAGCATTTTCTTCTGAGAGCCGCGACGAGTCAGAGGGATGTCTAGCATATTTACGCATGGCCTTGTGTGTGTGTGTGTGTGTGTGTGTGTGTGTGGGTGGGTGGGTGGGTGGGTGGGTGGGTGGGTGGGTGGGGGGGGGGGGGGGGTGGGTGTGTGTGTGTGTGTGGATGTGTGTGGGTGTGTGCGGGTCTGTGCGGGTCTGTGCTTGTGTGAGTGTGTGCGTGCGCACGTGTGCGTCTGTCATACAGTGTGTGTTGTGGAGGTGGTGGTGTTCAGGACTGCTCTCATCTTTCGAAGTGGGTCAGCAGTCTTGCAGTATTCGTGCATTGCTTGTGGCACAAGCCGCTTGTCAGTTTTGCACTAGCTTCTGTCAACCATATTTACAACTCCCTTTGAAATTCTGACCACATCCGGCGTTTGAGCTCCGAAGTGCTTGGCCACACGAGGTCTTCGACATCCTCACTGGATCAGCAGCAGGCTGGAGTTCATGATCTTTGGCGGGTCTAGGTGCCACGGTGTCACGCGAGATGCACACTGCAGAGGTGGCAGAAGCCTTTGGCCTCGAAGCAAAGTCGTCAAAGTGGAAGCGTTACTTGTCAAAAACTTTGCTTTGAGATTTGCTTGCTGTTCGGGTGCGCATCGCATAGGGTAAGAGCGAGCTGGGCGCGTTGATCGATGTTGATCGTATGTAGGTGTATTTAGTGGAGCGCCTTACGCGAGCAGCTTGCAAGGAGTATCCCGGGTCATTGCACACCGAATTCTGTCAAGATGCGTGTTTGGATGCAGGCTTGTTTTTGTGGTTACAATCAGGTCCCTTGTTTCGCTGCTGGATCGGGGCGCCGAAGGCTTGGGCTGCAGTGCGTGGAGTTTGCTGCAGGTTTGCATGAAGCTTCTCAGCGAGCAACACAAATTTCACGGCCCATTCTCAGCCTATGCTCTTTGAAGTTTGGGCTTTTCAGGGCCTGTCACTCTTGGACTTGTCTTCAGCGCCTGTCAGCCCATGTCCAGAACTAGAGGTGTCTTGCCCAGAAAGGCAAAGTGCAGCATCGCAATCCGACGGTCCTTCCAGTTTTCTTTCCAGTTTTCATTCGGTCGGGCTTTGCTCAGTTTGCTCAGTTTCCTCTTTCGTTTTGTTTTAAGTTGCCAAGTTTCAACCCAGCCCCCCCACCGCAACTCGCAGAGATGGGAGGTCTTCCTTCCAACGGATCCAATCCGGCGCCGCTCTCTGGCCAGTGGGGAGGCCCCGCCGGAGCAGTGTGATGTGGGGATATGTGGGGTGATCTCCAGAGTATGGGGGGCCTTGCTGCATCTTGCTGCACCTCAGTCCGCCCAGGTCCAGTGCGGTCATCTTGAGGAGCGCAACGGAGTGGTCGACTTCAACGCGATGCCTGGCGAGGAGCCGACCAGGTGTCAAGATTCAACATCGTGGTCCCTTCTTGGGTGTCCTGTATACCGGCCGTATTACAAAATAGGTACCCTTCCCAAAGCCCTACTTTTCGGAACTTGACATACTTGACCGATGGGAAGTGGTGCTGCTACCAACCTTGCTCTGGTAGGGGCAGGGGCGTACACTGAAGGCAGAACTTTCTCATTCTTTCCGCATGTCACTACGAAAAGCTGAATTTTGAGGCCATCTGCATCCTGTTGCCGCTCAGGAGTTCATCGTCATCGACTTTGGATACGTCACCCTCCAGCGAAATGCCGAAAGCCTCGAGACGCTGGACCGGACGAATACCAAAGTTCATTGTGTCTCTGTATAGGGCCTCCATGATTAATGTTCTGCACATCATGTCTCTGTGCTGCGGTTTGGTAAGTGAAAGACAAAAGATGCATGCTGGAGACCCGGCAACAAATCAACAAGACTTTGAAGCATGAGTCCTTGTGCCTATCTTCGAATCTTCATGAGCCCTGTTGCCAGGATGTGAAGCTGTACGAGGCGGAGCTCCATTTTAGAACCAGAACGTACAACCGCACTCGCCTAGAGCGCATTCTCGTCGATCCCGGTGAAGTGAGGGGGGGGAAAGGTAAATACGTTTGCCCATGTGCTCAGTTCGTTGAACCCCTCTGAAGCTGCAAATTTCAATGGAAAGAGGCCCGTGTTGTGTTTTTGGAGTTCTGGGTATTTCGTGCATTTTGTTCTGCTGCTCGTAACCGAACTAACTTGTGCATGTATAAGCGGCTGCGAGAAGCAGACTGGATGGTTGAGTGGAGAAGGTAGATAGGCAAACTGAAGCAGCAGCCTCCCACAAGTTTAGCATTTTTTGTTTGAAGTGCCCATTTTTTCAGGGATCGCTTCCTATACAGGTCCGGAGCATTTGTTTCGGTCCTGATGGTTTGCCTCTTCTTTTTCCCGTCTGGCAAGCCATGTATACCTGCGCACGTACATTGAATCTGAATTCCAATTATATATACATATATTCACACAGTATTCACACCATTTAACCTTTCTACATTAAATATACAATATTCAATGGCTGCCGGGGGGGTAGCAGTGGTGGGGGGCGGGCATGCACTGGAACCCTAGAGCCAGGAGGTGGGTGGGGTGGGGAGGGGGACGAGGTGTGGCAGCCGGCCGGTGAGGTTCCTCACCGGGCATGCACTGGAACCAAAAAGAGAGGCAGAGCTAGGGGGGAGGTGGGGGCGTGGAGGGGCATGCTGCGAGCAGGTCGTCCACGACCGCATGGAGGACCAGTGGCCGGAGGCGTGCCTTGAGTTCTCCCGATGACGGCCTGACGCCTGCCCGCGCTCTCCTAACAAGATACCCAAGTACAAAGAGTACCACACCGTGGAGGCACTGGACACTCACTGGAGCAGATCCAGCACTTCGAGCAGCCGGACACCAACATTGTCAACCTGCGCCTCTCGGCCTGGCAGGCACTGCGTCCAGAGCGGGCCCCCCATGGAATCCCGGAGCAGCCTGCTCCCCTGGAAAGCCTCGACACCCTCGAGCAGGCCGAGCACCCTGCCGCAAGTCGCCGTGGAGGCCTGGGGGGACGAAGACCGACTTCGACCAGAAAAAGGGAGAGGAGCGCCTCGCGAAGATCCGCGACGAGGACGGCCAGTTCATCCTCTTCAAGCCCAGCTCGGTGAAGTCTCTCTTGCCGCACTCCCGCTCCGCCGAGGACCTCTCTTTCGGCGTCTTCCCCTGTTACCTCGTCCCGTGGGACAAGGTCAAGAAGAGCCTGCTGACCGGCACGCGCCCGTCTTTCTCCTATCAGGGCGACTGGGCGCCGCTCGTCGAGCCGAGGGCCACCGATGAGAAGCTGAAGAAAAAGCGGAAGCAGCCGCCAGTCGAGGAAGCGACTGCCTCTGGAGGTGCGGGAGACCACGTGATGCGCCGGCCCGCCGCGAGATTTTCAAAATTTTTTTAAAGGTGAACATATCTGAAATTTCGAAAGTTTGAAAATCCAATCTTTTCAAAATTTCAAAAAAGTTTTTAAAGGCGAACATTTGGAAAATTTGAAAGTTTGAATTCTCAAATTTTCAAACTTTCAAAATTTCCAAAAAACAAAGGCGAACATCTTTGAAATTTTGCAAGTTTGGAATGCAAACTTTCAAAATTTCAAAATTTAATATTGTTCGGGAAACTTCCCGGACAATTTTTTCCAATTTTCAAGATTTCAAAATTTCAAAATTTGTTAAAGGCGAACATTTTGAAATTTTGAAAGTTTAAAAATCCAATCTTTCAAAATTTCAAAAAGTTTTTAAAGGCGAAAAATTTTGAAAATTTGAAAGTTTGAAATTCTCAAAATTTCAAACTTTCAAAACTTCAAAAACTTTAAAGACAAACATTTTTGAAATTTTGAAAGTTTGAAATGCAAACTTTCAAAATTTCGAAAGTTTTTAAATTCAAAAAGTTCGGGAAACTTCCCGGACAATATTTTCCAATTTTCAAGATTGTAAAATTTCAAAAATTTTTTAAAGGCGAAAATTTTGAAATTTTGAAAGTTTGAAAACCCAATCTTTCAAAATCTTAAAAAGTTTTTAAAGGCGAAAATTTTGAAAGTTTGAAAGTTTGAAATTCTCAAACTTTCAAACTGTGAAAATTTCAAAAAAAACACAGGCGAACATTTTTGAAGTTTGGAATTTTGAACGGCAGCAGGCAGCCGTCAAATAGAGCATAAAGGTCCTGTATACATACATATATTTATAGATATTGTATAGGCACCTTCTGTATTTGCATATTTAGGTCTTTCCATACATACACATTACAGATATGCAATGTGTGTGCATTGTGTGCATATGTACATCTGCAAGTATGCACCTACATGCGTATGTGCATACATATGTGCATGTATACATATATACATGAAAATGCATGCGACAGGCCAGGATTTTTGAAGTTGGAGCTGTGCAGCTTCGGCACGGACAGCTGCCGGATAGATCCTGCCAGGTCGACCTTCGCATGGCCGGCAAAAAGGGCCAACTTGCCTCCGTCCTGCAGTTGCCACCAACTCCGCCGAGGCGCCTTCAGGAGTCTTCACATCAGCGGAGTGCGAAGGTCGTGCCAAATTTTGAGAACAAAGTAGAACAAGGAAGCATCTTCTGCAAGTTTCCTTCTCCTTGAACGAAATGGCGCGGTTGGGTCGCATGCGTGCATCAAACGTCCTATGTCCCCAGAGTTCAGTGCAGAGCAGGAGTTTCGATGTTTCGGTTTCTCTTCCCACATGCGTTATGGATGAAACAAGTGCTACCAGCTGCCCAACGATTCATTGCTGTCACCATTGCTGTCGTGCGACTTACATGTCTCCAAGCACCGCCCTAGCAATCAGCACCCTAAAGCCTGAAATTGCTGCACAGAAGAAAAGTTGCCCTTGATTCCAGGCAACTTGCAGTCCCACCGGAGAACCAGGCCAGCATACCCTTCGGGCCAAGTTCCTGCTTCTTTGAAAATAGGCAGCTTCTGGTTTTTGTTGGTCATGGGTGCTGTGGCTCTGCACTGGATGCTCAGGCTGATTCCGATGTGGCCAGCAGAGCTGCTACCATACGTGTGGATGCCACGTTGCGTCAGGGCCGGGATGGGGCACGCCTTGAGGCCTGGCAGGGCTCATCCCAGAAGTAAAGTCTGCCATTCCATGCCATGGTATGCGAATATACGCGAAGTTTATGTTGCTGGACACTGTTGTGGACTCTCCTGCGCAGGCTTCACTGCAGCCCTCGAGTGGCGATCAGCTGCAAATTGTGCTCAGCCGCAGTGATCTCACGCGCATGTGCCTTTGCGGCATGGAGGAGTAAAGAACACCGTTGTATACCGTTGTCTCGGCATTCCGAGCAACGAATGCAGCCAGAGTTTAGAACAAGCCACAGCCCCACAACGGCCTGTTCCGTGCGACCCAGACTCGACGTGCTGGCGGAGAACCGTGGCTACGCTGCCGCTGAGGCTGAGGAGGTGTGGACCCGTAGATTTCACTCAGCGATTTTACGCACAGGGAATCCTTGAGACATCTGAGAAGCCAAGTGAGAACTGGGACCAGGTGGAAGACACTGCCCGGGAGTCCGAGGTGCGGGTGACCCCCATGGGCCACAATGTTCAGGTCAAGGATTCGTGTCGAGCCGCAAGAATCGCATATCATCACACCCTTTACAGGCTTTAATGCCTACCATGTCATTCGGTCATGTCATGAGAATATGTCGTGGGGGCTCGCAGAGTTCTCGCATGGCAGGCCAGCTCGTTTGTCTCGGCCCGTGAGAGCCAGAGCGCCAGGACCGGATCCGCAAGCGCTCAATGCAAGCCTCTAGACTGGCTGCCACTGTGCTGTGCAATGCTGTGCCATGCTGTGCAATCTGCGCACAACTGTCGACTCATAAAGCAGGGTGACTCGCAGCGGTAGCGATCGAGCAAAACGCAAAAAGAGTGCACACGATACATCACAAGGCCTGTCAGCCAGATGGCTGCCGACGTCAGCTCCAAACGATGATCCAACGCCAAGAGCTGTGCTGAATTTTGCCTAGAAACTATCAAAGGCCGCTTCGAGCTTTTTGATTTCAATGGGGGGCCGAGGCACCTGGGGTGACTCAAGGACAGTTTTTTGGGGGCACTTGCCCGGACGACCCACACGAACATACAATCGTAGCTGGATAGCCCGCGCAAAGCACAAAACCGGTCCTGCTCTGCTAGGCCTTGCCTTCCTGTATGGACCCTTGAGAACCAAGAATACCCCAAAATTGCAAGAATCCATTTCAGGCAGCTGAGGCTCTTGCACAGAAAGAGGTATCACAGGTAGATCTAGTTTTGGAGGGCGCTAGAGTGCCATGAGCCATCATGTTCTCAGGACGCGAAGCCTCGACGCGCTGCCTTCACCAGCTCCGCAGGCTCCGCAGGTGCCGTGCCAGGGGCCCTCCTGGCGTGAGTCCCTTTTTGGGCCGTCCGTTGTTGTCAAAACTCCAGTGTCCCAAAGGCCCAAAGACGTTCAGGCCCTCAGTTCCAAGCCAGCAGGGCCTCAAACCCATAAAGTCCCTAAACTAGATCCCCGTCGTTGAACGCCCCTCTCTTGCGGCAGGCGCGCGCTCGCACTCTGGCCACGCTGCGCTCGGCAAGCCAGCTTCCGGACTGTTTGATGGGTGTCCCTGATGGCCAACTCTGCACTCGTCTGCTCTCTGTCTGTGTCTGTCTGTGTCTGTCTGTGTCTGTCTGTGTCTGTCTGTGTCTGTCTGTGTCTGTCTGTGTCTGTCTGTGTCTGTCTGTGTCTGTCTGTGTCTGTCTGTGTGTCTGTGTGTCTGTGTGTGTGTGTGTCGCGCACACTGCTTGGGCCTGCTGCATTTCACTTTGTACTGAGTACTGTACACTTCTTGACAGTCATAAATCATAAAGTCTTACCGGTGGGGCGCCAACCAAGAACCCTCACCAGAAGCTTCAAAGCGTAGCGTGTAGGCTTTTTGCTTTTTGTTTGGAGGAGCTGCGCCCTTGGCCAAACGGGCAAGCAGGTGCCCTGTTTACACAAGAGCCGCTGCAACGAGTCTAAGCAGATCGGAAAGGAGGCTGTTGTAGGTCCCAGGTCAAGTGCTGCTGCCATTTAGCACCAAAAGGTCCCAATCCCAGTCAGGTCAAGAAGCCGTCGGCCGGCCATTCACGTTAGAGTGGCTCGGCCATCAACGGGCACCTTATGCCCCGAAGCTCGTCGTAGTATGTCTCAAGATAAAACCGTCACTGCTAATGTTTGGACTTCAAAGATCTACAGGCAGTCTGTACCAGCTTAGGTGGTCGAATCCAGCAGTATTGCTCATCCGAGCGCCTTGGAATGACTTGGAAGCGCCTAAGTCTTTAAGTTCGACTTGGAGTCAATGCCACGAAGTATCGTGAAACCAAGGTCCAATTCACTGACTTGGCTCCTCTGGCTTCGCTCGCTCTCCAAGGGACCCGCGGCTTTGCTGTTTGACATGGTGTGAAACTCGTGTTTGAGATTATGATTTGGTTATTTCGTTGAAGGAGCATGTAGAGGGCCGATAAAGCACCTGGGTAATTTCAGCCAGGATTTCAACTTGCTAAGAGCCAGGAGCCGGATCTCTGCCAAACTAGATCCTGATCTCCAGCTGAAGGTCGCGCGCGAGGGAAGGAGTGGTTCGGGACTTCCACATGATACCGCAAGAAACAGAAGCGCACACGTCTTTCCTTCTCACAGAGCGTGGTTGACGACATGTGCAAACAGATGCCGTGTTCATGTTGATAGATTGATTTTGCTTGCATGCGATGGAAGTTGGTAAAATATGCAAGTGCCGCTTCAACATCTTAAGTATTTGTACTCTCTTGCTTGGCGATACCACGACTTGGAAGACCTCACTCTGTCTGCTTGTTAGTGTTTCCGCATTTCCGCATGTGAAACGCGTTTAAGTCTTGCTTCAGCTGTCCCTGAAGGTCCCACAGAGGGTCCCCAAGAGGGGTTTCTAGGTTACTTGGGGGTTCCTGTGGGGAAGTGAGTACGGTACCCATCTCTGTTTTGTTGAGGTCTCTTGCCGATCCTTAGACATCGAGGAGCAGTGTGGAGCATTCTGCAGTGGTACTTCGTAGGGACAAAGTGGGGCATTGCCGAAGGCTTGTGGAGCAGCAGATACCATCGGCATGTCCGGTTGCTGGTCCATGTGTCTGACAGATGGCATACTGAAGGCCAGCCACCAGTGAATCTCCTGCCAGGACTTGCGTGTGCGATCCCAGAACGCTGACAAATCAGCCACTTCGGCACAACAGGGTCATCTATGCGTGGAGCACGGCTGACATACTGCGGCTGCGTGACACTAAACATGACACGTCCATAGAGCCGCCGCAAGACCGAGCGCAGACATCAACGAACTGGAAGCATTTCCGCGCGTGTACAGCTACGGGAGACAGCAAGGGTTCCCGATCGCAGGCTCAGACTTGGGTTTGTCGCTTCTATTCCGAGGTCCTCCGCGGAAGCTCGCTGGTCCTAGCCTGGCAGAGTGAGGTGGCAAGGGAAATCAATACATGAAGTTGTGTCCCAAACAGTCCCAGAACATGTGTGGGTAGTTCACTCTTGTTCTGGTTTTCAGAACTTGAAGTCTTTGGAATGTGGTGTCTCAGTTGGGAGCAATTGGCACGGACTTAGGCCGGTGTAGAGTTACGTGGTGTGGTATGGCATGCAAGCGAGGGCATGACATCATAGCTCGGGTGGTTCCATTCGAATTCAGGTCCCGTGCGGTTTTAGCTTCTGTCGCAGTAGAATCTCATGAAACCCGCAATCCCAAGGCGCGTAGAAAACTCCTAAGTCCCAAGCCCTAAGCCCAAGCCCAACACTTTAGAAAGGACCTTCGATGCTCGAGCACAAGGTATACAGGGCTCAATCTCTGGGGCAAGAAAGCTTTCAGGTACGGCATTTGGCGGGTCGTTTTTAGGCCTTAAGATGGTTTAAATGATGATTAAATGTTTCCCTGAACCCCCCCCTTGAACCCTAAGCCCTAAACCCAACTTCCTCGCGAGCTCTGTGAACTCTGAGAGGCAGGCCAGCAGTCGGCTTTGTCCGTCCGGCTCACCCGAGCCACAGTGCAGGCCAGGACAGCGCACAAGGGCTAATCATTCTGGGACAAGATGCTGATAATGATTCCTCTATAGAAGGTCGCCAAATGGGGTCTCGCCTGTGATTGGGACGTTTGGATTTGGCTTAGCCTGGTCTACTCCTGCGTCTGGGGGCAGTAGGACAACAAACTCGCAGACACGCAATAGCCGGGCGAAGCAAAACACTCAGACATCGCACGAAGTAGGGTGAAATAAATTGTTCTTGTGAGTGTATATAGGGTCTTTTGGATATTTGTGAGTGCATAAATTTGGTGTGTTGATGGCGATGCTCGAAAGAACAAACGTGGGGGTTTATAGGGGTTTCTGGGGATAGGGGTACCTACAGAGGGGTCCTTATAGGGTCCCTAAAGGGTTCCCTATATAAATCCCTATCGGGGTCCCAGACTTGGAATTCCCACAAAGGTCCTAAAGGGGTCCGTGTTGGGGTCTTTACAGGGGTCCCGAACCCTTTCAAGCCTGGTGACATGCGAGGTGCTCCCGATGCTGTTTGCAGACCTTGCAGCTTGCTGGAATGTTTCAAAGTGTCTCAGAAGGGCTTCTTGATTCTGGAGGGCTTCTGGAGTCTTTCCCAGGCGTGGTGTCACATGACCACGGGTATGCGAGTGGAGGTTGCAGCAATATGCAGTAGCTCTGCGTAGTTCATTTCTCATTATAATAAGTTAATGCCAGCATGCCAAGTCTAAGTCCGAGCGGTGCTGCAAGGGTAGCTGTCGCAGCTGATAGTGCCTGACTCTGCGTGGCATATGACAACGCGGCATTCGGTTCGTGCATTGAGGCCACGTGGGGCGTCTCGGCCTGGCGGCTTTGTGCTTGGGGACGGTGTGTGGCCCCACTGCCAGAACCCGACAGGCCGAATGATTGTGTGGTTTCGACAGGGCTTCTGGGCTTAAGGTTTAGGATCTTAGACTGCTGAAATCTGTTGACATCTGCTGCAGGGTTTGAGGGTACAGGGGTGTAGTGACTAGTACAGGCACAGGAGTGAAAGCTGCTGAAGGCTGCCCTGGGACCTTTCCGAACTGCGCCCGCTTGGCGCCGCCAGCCTGCTGATCGAGGCAGAATTGGAGTCGCAATTGGAGTGCATCAACCCAATAGCTCCAAGGGCAACACTCTGAAGGAACATTGGCTGTGCTAAAGATAATCTACTTTAAGGAAGCTTCCTTCACGACCGGTATTGCCCTCTGATCGGAGTAGATTCCTTACAAGGAGCACAAATCGATCAAAATAATGTGCCCTTTCTCGAGCTGCTAGGGTATGTTCTTTTGCAGCTTCATGTGCCAAGAAGACTCGCACATGGTCGATCATGTACTGTACCATGAGACGGTCTGCATCTTAGTACGCATGTGGCGGGCCAGTCGAACTCCTCTCACTTTCAGAATGTGGCTTTGAGAAGAAAACACCGGCTTGCCGAAGTGTCCATGAAATCCAGTTGCGATATGGTAAGGTGTCATCTTGTTTCCAGTGACGGTTGTCTCCTGAGTACCGAAGGCCAAACGAGTGTAGCAAGAGAGCAGACGGCCCTCCAGCCGTACCTCCCGCGAAGGCGGTAAGAGCGACCAGACTGCGCCCGAAGAGAAACCACAAAGAACCAGGTCGAGCTGCAATCAGCATCGTTCCGGTTGCCAACAGATTGGGCAGCGCAGCAGGCAGTTGCAGCTCACAAGAGGGTTCCATTGTAGAAAGTTTTCTGAGGGTCTAGAAGGGCCGGTCCAAACTCCTTCAAAGCTTCTGTCACACTGATTCACACTGTATAGGCATAAGGACTTGAAAAGCCACCTTCCAGGGAGAACGAACGCTTTGAAGGCATTGTGCGAACGGTGTTCCTAAATCAGATGTTCCTAGCAAGCGTGGTCAAAGGACTACTTTGAGTTCTGCGGCAGCCCGCGAGAGAACGGCGCCGTCTTCTCGGCATCGCTGCTTAGTTGTGAGGCACGCGGACTGGGCCTGTTGTGCACTGCACCAAGATACACACCTTAGCAGATCCTAGCAGCCTGGCTTTTGCTTAGTCTGCGGTTTCTGTGGCAACAGAGAAGCCCTGAATCTCAGAATCGCAACGACCAAGGCCACCAAGACTTACCAATATTCCACGAAGCTCCGAGGGTTGGCAAGAATTGTCTGTTCAGAATTGCGCTCACAGAGCCAGTTCAAGACAGTAAGAGCCTGTGAAGTCCCTGAAGTCCCTGAAGCATCCTGCAACCCAAATATGTCCGACTAATTCCACAGGCCGGCCTGGAATTGACTCGGGTAGCTCTGCAAGACTGCAAAGTGCAACGATGCGCCGCAGAAGTCCCGAGCGCCGTGTGCCCTGGCAGTCTGATGCTTGTGTGCAGCTTGGTCTTGCATCAGATATGGAGCTAACAAACACCAACACTGCCTAGCAGTCAGGCAGGCAGTAGATGACTGACAGCTGAAAATTTAATTAGTTCACGGGTTGTGATGAGAGTGCTTCATCGTTGTACATTCGCCAAGCAGAGCCGATCACAGCACCAGTTGCTTCGATGAGTGCGAGCCACCCTTCACGCTAGTTTGCGAGCCAGGCCATAGCTGCCCTAGCTGGCGGTGATGTCGTGTTGCGAGGCTGTGCAGTGACTTCGGCCTCCGCACTGCTGGCCGAACCTGGGCATTGCCACCGCGCAGTGGACTGATCCTGAGGCAGCATCTCTCGACCGCACCAGCACAGCACCGCGACATTGACGGCTTTCATTTCATGTGTGCAGTTGATAGGCTCTCCCTATTCAGAGGTTCAGGGAGAGGGGAGGTGGGTGCCAACACGTGTTGGTCCAACTCGGGCCACGGTGCTCTGCTGTCTTTTTTCGACACAAGCCTTCCGCGCTTGCAAACAATTGCCACACCACACATCAATGGTCAGGCCGGTCGAGTTGCAACCCTTTGACCTGCGCATTTCGACCAAAGACACCGGCACGGCGCTCAGAATTGGTCCGTTGCACTCTTACTCCGACTGTCTTTTTGTTTTTTGTTCGGAAGTTGACTCGACCCAAGTTTTCTCAGAGATCTCCCAGGTGCTCTGCTCGCGGCCGCCGGCTCCCTTGCCAGTGCTGAAGCAAGCAGCTCCGAGCCCGTCGAGGCCGGGCCAGACACGGAGGGGGGATGAAATTCGGCTTGATTTACTCCCGATGTCCTTGTTGATGTCCCGGTGGCCATAATTGCAGTCGATAACAGTTGACATCATTAGTTTTTCGGTGGAGGAACTGCTCCTCCGCGACCCTCATGCGCCAACGGCCACCTCGGCCTGGTGTGCGGGGGCCCAGCAAATTCAGGGCATTTCTATGCCAGGTTGGGTGCTGTCTTCAAGACAAGACACGTTGGCTGTGGCACGAACAAGGTATGTCAAAAATTGCGACTGCTCAAGCAAGTTCAGGCTTGGACTTGGACGGCAAAGTTGGCAACGCCCGAGATTCTTCGCATCTCGGTGGTGCCAAACGAAACACGAGAGAGAAGGCTTCAGCAGTTGAGGTGGTGCTGTAAATTGAGGTAGTGGCGCGTTCCTCAGGACATGTGTGTGCATATGTATATATATATATGTAAATGTATATGCATATTGTACACATCTGTCTATCTTGCTATCTACCTGTATGTACTTCTCTTAATACTTGGAAGTGACATCAAAACAGAGAAATGTATTCATGAAATCCTTTTGGATCCTCTTTGCGTGGCATGGAGACATGCGCCAGAGACACGATATTCACTAGAAACAAAGATTGACACCTTTCTTTCGATGACTTGCGCCAGTTGGATTCAGGGATGCGCGGGCGACAGACTTGCAATCAGCCACCACCTGGACCTGAGGAAGCACGCCATCGACCTGCAGATCCTGGATTGTCACTGGCTCATGGAAGGTCTAGGGTTACTGTCGCAGCGAGCTAGCTCACCTCCGGCAATGTTAACAAGCTGCAGTGCCCACATCACTGATTCTACGGGTGTGTACACTGCGTTGAGGCTTATTGATGCGAACGCAGGTGACCTTGCAAAGCCGTGTTGAGAGCCCAGTGAAGCTAAGACCGACAGCCGGGAAAGCTGCTTGATGTGCGTCTGAGTTTGCCATCCATTCATGCGGAGCCTTGGCTGTTGATGAGGGGCTTTGTTGCACCACATGGTATGCAGAGGTGTATCTTTAAATTGTGTTCGATTTGTGGAACTGACACTCTTCACCCATAGTTCACCGAGGGCAGTGGCAGGTTCGCTTGTAGGTGCCCATGAGCTGAGGAGATTCGGACAGCAACTGGCCAAGCTTCGACAGTGTTGCTCCGTGCCGCGGCAGGTAAAGTAAATAGCCTCATACAGCTTCTTCTCGAGGATCCAGCTAAAGCCAAGTGGAAATACATCCTTTGAGCTCGAGCTCGCCAGACCATGAAAGATGCAGAGCTCACTTCCGGATCATTCCGTATCACACCAGCGCACTCCTGTCAGGTGCCGAGATGCTGGAGCTGGAGGCCAGTCCGGAAATCCGCTGGAAGTCGCCAAAACCGCATGCTCCTCACGTCCTCTCCTGTCTGCTTTAGGTGGAGTCCTACAACCGCACCCTTCGCGTCATGGAACCGGTCGTGCTTCCCATTCGTGGCGCGTCGAAACGACACGTGTTACAATGTCTTGCGGTAGCCTTGCGGTCTGGGATGGGTGGACTTGCAGCTAGCTAGCTAGGCATGGGTGAAGTAGCTGGCACCGACACCTTTCGCCGTGATGGCTGATTTGACTAAGGCTTGGATGCTGAATACAAGGTGGCCAGTACATCCTCCTTCCGCGTGACCTCCAGGTGATGCTCACAGTCGTCCCTCACTTTGCCTGTTTCGGTGAGCTCACCTGGTGCTCTGCGATCTGTGCCGCGTTGAAACCTTGGTTCGGATAGAATCACAGATGCCCTCAAAGATGCAGGGAGAAGCTCCATTTGGTTATCACGCCGACTTTCATTCGCCTCGTGATGCACCTCGGCGGCGATTAAGAGTCGCTTAGATGTGTGCGTGGGCTAGACAGACACCACTGGAAATCTCCCAATGACTCTGGCTTAACTCCCAGATTCTGCCTCGTACGATGTGCTATCTGTCCCGGCTCACGTACAGATCCCTTGCAGAAGATACCTCAAGGAACTGCAAAACGGGCCTCAGGGTTTTGCTCCGGGATGTGTCTTCATCAGGTCGAGCATCGGTTTCTACTCAGATTGCCGATCCCCTCTGCCGTGCCACGAAAAAACAGGGCTTTGGTCCCAGAGCTTGTGATGCTTGTGGTCCAACATTCCAGGCAACTTCAAGAAGAGCTGGCAGCAGACGGGGCTGTGCCACAGCAGAAGTCCGCCGCATGTCAGCATTCTGCGCCATGCACGTTGCAGGCTGCTCAGGAGGGAACTTGGCAGTTGCAGGTTGCCGTGGCTTGATGAAGCAATCGTTTTGAACTGCAGTAGGCCTTGACTCTGCTGTGCCGACGTATCTCAGGCATACTTGCCGCCTCTCAGATGCAGAGTAGCTGGACAGGGGGGGGGGGGGTGACCTTGACCAAAGCCTCTTGAAACGAGCAAAGCGAACGACCGAGAAAGGGGAAGCAGGACGTAAAGAATGTGTTGGGAGTTCTTGCAAGCTGTGTCCTCTACATGAGGCTACTTACAGGATTGAACCTCACTGGTGCAGCCTGCGAGGCCTGCCATCAGAGTGCAACACACGTTGCAGCGATTCGGCAGTGGTTGCGTTTGACGTAGGTCGTGGCTGGATCCACACGTATCAAGCTTCCCGCAGCACGCGAGGCCTGGAATTCGTAACGAATTCGTGAAGCATCGATGGAACTACAGTCTCTCATAGTGCCTTGCATCGCCGTTGGGCCTTGCGCACATAGACTGGGCATGGGCATGAGCATACTGAGCCATTGCTTCACATAGTTCCTGCGAGATGCCGCTCGACGTGCTTCTCGCGGAGGACCCTGAAGATCTGACATGGATGCACCCAGAGCATGCGGATGCGTGGGAACATGATGGAATGAAACGGAGCACGTGGAACCTCGAACCGCGCTCCAAAGGACAACGCGGAGCTGCGAAGTCTTGGAGACCCAGCGCCACCATTGAGGTGGACCTGTGCGACCCTACGGGTACATGGTAAGGTCATGGTGAGATATGCGGGAGCCGAAGAGAATCTGCATGGGGAGCTTCAGTACCATGCAGCATCTGCAGCATGCTGTCCAGCTTGCAGCTCTGACCTCGGGTTGGAGGCTTCCTCTGAGCCGGCGTCTAAACACATCCTTCCTGGCAGAGCCCCGCCTTCCAGCAGCAATTATCGACGCATCCGAAGTCTGCAGTGCAGGCGTCTGCAACTAGGATGGCATAACGTGAGGGAGTTATCATGTCTTATTCTGTCTAAAGGACATAGATGACAGATTTTTAGGGGCTGTATGGCTGTGCCGCAGTGCCGCTGTGCAGCGCAGCCAATGAAGTCAAAGGATCCTGGCAGTGCGGCGATGCCGAGCTGATCGCCCAGTTGGGCCCAAGCCACCCGACCTTGAGAAGATTCAAGTTTTTTATCGTTTTTTCAAGACTCAAAAAGAAATTTTGAAAGCATCATCGAATACTTGGGAGTGTGCCTGTCTCGTTGCCAATGACCCTGTCACCCAGACCCCGCTGCGGCGATGGGGCAACGACTCCTCGTCACTTCCAGGCAGCTATGCAAGGGGGAGCACGGCTGCAACTGCACAACACTTTGCAACAATGTGCAACACTTCGCAGCACTTTGCAACACTTTGCAACACGTCGCACGCCTCAGATGCTCGCTGCCAACGTGTACGCTTCGTGAAAATAGGAAACACCATGCCTCATCGCCCTTTTCGCAGGGTTTGCTTTGCCAACCTGACGGATGTGGCGCTTCAATGGCGCTTGCTCAGGCTACACCACGTGCAGGGGCAGTCGACATGACACGGGCAAGAATTCTGCTTTGACGTCCTTGCAAGGCCACGCTCATACGGCATGGACTCATCGACTGCGGAGCTGCTCCAGGCCCCGAGTTGCCGCTAGGTGCTTGAGTTCTATGTGGGGTTGGGATCCCGTGGGTCTAGATCCCCGAGTTCGTTTACCATTCCATTTTTATAAGTCATGTTCGGGTCTGTGATTTTTGTCTTTCTGCCTTTATTTGCTTTATGTGTCCTTGTCAGTGAGCTTGTCAGTCTTTTTGTCTTCCGTCTCTTATCTTGGAGGTGTGCTTTTCTTGAAGTCCTTCACCTGCACTCCATTCCGCCAACGTCGACTTCCGGGAATTTGTGAAAGACTCCAACTCACTCCACCCTCATCCACTCTCCATTCTAGTGTCGGCCAGTTTTCCCCCTTTGCGAACCCAGGCTCAGCCAACTCCCCTGGTCCACTCTGTATTTGTCGCGAATCTTCTTTGCATTTGGGGCTATGGGAACATGCTCTCGCAGCCGAAACTTCAGCCCATCATGCGAGCATTGTGCGTGCAAACTAGCAGTGTGTCATGGTGGAACAGTCTGATCAAATCTAATTATACCAGCGCTAATTGCATCTCTTTGAGCCTGACTGAATCTCAGCCAAAGGACTACAACTCAGTTTGCCCCTCCCAGAGACAATCTCATCAAGCCATACTGTTGAATCTTACGTGTGCTTGTCTGAGTTCGAACACAGGGCGGCAGGGCAAAACGTGCCCTAACGCAGAGTTAGCAAGCCGAACATCAAACAGACACACACACACACACGCACACACACACACACACACCCTAAGATTAATACACGTAAGCTCAACGCCTTAACCTCCCTGAACCTCAGAACCTCGACGGTAAGCCATCAAGTCTATTCGCCACTGAACTGAAGCCTCAAAACTGAACCTTATTACTGAATCTCCATAGAGCGGAAAAGGAGTGGCCCCCTTCGTGATACTACGGATTTCTGGTAGACAGGGAAAGGGGTTACACAAATGGATGAAGGATGTATACGGTATACATATGTATACAGTATATGTATCCCTAAATCTGCGGCTCTTCATCTTCTTCACTATCAACATTGGTTTCAAAAACCTGTATTCTTTCTTGGGAGTGGTGGTGGTTTGTTGTTTGTTGTTACTGGTGTTTGGTTGTCGTTTGCTTTTACTGTTTTTTCTGTTTTCATCTGTTCGAATTTGTCTTTATCCGACAGGCCGTCGTTTAAAGATCATGAGAAGCTAGACATTCTGATTGTTCTTGGTTGCGTCCCAATTAGTGACTTTCCGCCTCCCGATGAGCGGGGCAGGTCACGCAGCCACTGCCGGTGGCGGCCTCGTGCCTGGGCTTCCCTGCTGAGGGCAGCGGCAAGGAGCCAGGCGGTGACAGTGGTGTCAAGCCAGAATCATCCCTGCATTCACACTTGTCTGTCTACTCAAAAGCAGATTGCGTCACATCCTGCAACGTCCATCGTGTGACATCCTATCATCCTTTCTTAGAGGCTGCGGCCCGGACTGCCTCGGAGCAAGGCCCGGAGTTGAGAAGTTCAGCCTTGTTCAGCAGCTTGTTCAGCAGCTCTGCGGTCAATGCCCTGTTTTCCATCCCTTTGAAGGCAAGCAGTATCTCTTCCGCCGTCGGCGTTGTCTGCGCCAGCATCTGGCTCGATGCCCTTTGGCGGACACGTAGTGGGTACGGCTGCAGGACTCCAGGTTGTGAGCCAAGGGGATGTTGGAGTTCTGAGTCATGGCAATCATGGCAGTAGGCGATGCCAGGGGTCTTCCTGCCAGGCCGTTGGCTCTTCTGCAGGTCCGGCCGGCAAGCCCCGCAGGCTCAGCAGACCGGGAATGACCACGACAAAGAGCAGCACGACCTGAAGATAGCGAATCGTAAGTCGTTTTGCCTAGAACAGCTGCTGACTTCATGTTTACCCTTCTGCTGCAACCGCTAAGCTGAGCTTCGGAGACTCATCTGTTGCCTTCACAAGCTGTACGACAAGAGCATCAAGGGGAAGATAAGGGGAAGGACATTTGCATTTCACTGTCCTGATGATCCATTCCTCTAAGAAAGTGGCAGGGGCTTCACCCGCCGAGATTTTCAGCTGGAGCGAACCTGTTCCGGTCTTCCACCGTCGCATCTTGGCCGATGTCCAGCGTTTTCGGTTGTCACAAGTTGTTCACAAAATCTTTCGTGACTTTCGAGGGAAAGAGCCCGCAGACGGACCCAAGTCTCATCACCTGGCACATGTCGTCCAGTCTGCTTGCATTCAGCTTTTGCAGTCTGCCTCCAGTCCGCTGGCATTGGTTGAGGCTGAACCGGCCTAGCCTAGCCAGAGCTAGCTTTAGAATCCACAAGCTCCAAGCATGTCAACGTTCAGAGAGTGTGCTCAGGGGCCACCGAGCCCATCGCAGCTCGGCTGATGGTTGATTTCAGGGAGTCAGTCTTCTTGCAAGAGCTGCCGAAAAACAATACTTCGGAGGATCTGCGATTTTTGGATAGGTCGCTGTCAGAAAGAATCTGCGGTTTAGGGCCGTCAAGGGTTTACGCAGTTTAGGATTCAGGGTGATCAAGCGACAGGTGCCAGGGCGTCGAAGGAGCACACGAAGCAGCGCCAGAAGCTCAGTTTCTCATTGCAAACGGAATGTCTTTGGGCGCAGAAACAAAAATGTGACATAACGGACCAGGGGTGCAGAAGACAAAGCTGTGTCGTTTGGTGTCATGCGGGACACGCCCAGAAAGCTGGTGCCGTTGCTCCAGGTTGCCAGCGCAGAATCTGCCGATGGGGACCAGCATCTTGTTTTGCAGAGGGCTGTAGGCAATTTGTGGCAGTTCGAACCACAACTCCCTAAGCTATTGTCTCAATACCTCTTGTTGCTGGCTTTCTTATGGACGGAGAAATGGATGCTCATTGCTATAACATGGATTCTTGAGCTTTGACGTAACTAGGATTGTCCCGGTCTTGGGAAGAGACCTCGACACTGCTCAACATCACCAGACCTACGCATGAACAGTTCGGTAGCCCTCCTTGACAACATTGATCTGTATGTTTCAGTCACCACGACGATACTAGTTCCAAGTGAAGGGCAGGCAAGAGCTCCACAGGGAAGCCGGCTGTGAAGTCCCAGGTTCCGGCGGTGCCAGAACGCCTCAGGGAGCTGTCCGTTGAGATTCCGCATCGTCGAGGCACCACAGAGTCACAAGTCCAGCTCCTCACATCCACTGAGATCCTCAATCTCAATCGAGCAACCCCAAGAGTCAGTCCTGGGAACCCAGGGTGAAGATGCTGTATCAGCCAGCAACAGAGGGTGCTTCACGGTGTTTCATTCCGGTTTCGATTCGTTTGGCATGGTGTGGTGGGGATTCGGCAGAGGCCGGGACTGGGCATCATCAACATCAATCAAGAACATCCTCAGAGCGTGGAAGCATACACGCACGACGGAACCCTCGTTGAAGCAACAGTTTATGAATGCAGACGCACACACACACACACTCTCTCTCTCTCTACAACATCAGATGCAAGCGGGATTTCCTGAGAGTCCTCGAATCCCATCAACAACAACGAGGCCAGCGGCTCCCTCAATGTCATGGAAGGGTGTGAACACAGGCTTTTCGCATAAAACACCCCTGTTCGGGATGATGGGGAACCCGATTGTATCCTTGACGTGTATAAACCTTTGGCACAAATCACGAGGCTTTTGGCAAAGCTGCGTAACGCTGTAAATTACGATTTTTTCGAGGCCGGACGCGAACAGACGGCGACAGCATGTCTTCAAATGGCATCGACATGTCTCAGACATTCATGTGTACTCAACTCATCGAGCACCAAGTTCCCACAACAATGAACAACACAATGGGAACTTCACTTCCAAACCCCTATTCAGAACAAGCACGAGCAATAGATTCCAAGAGGAGTTGCCTATACAATTGAAGACACCCGAAGCACATCCAAAAGTTTGTTCGGTCCTTCACACTTCTGCCTACGGCACAAACCATGTCCCAGTGTCCCAGCTTCATACGCTTGCAGGAGTCATTAAAACCAGCTCTGGTTTCAGAGGCAGCTTTTGCTTGCAGACTCCGGCATGTTCTTTGAGTTGTTTTGATTCTGTTCTTGCTTCGTCTTTGAGTTCCGGAGGACGGCGGTCGGCAAACACTCTGCGCAGAGGCGCCACTCCGGCTCCGCAACGCCTGCCCCGTGCCGCTTCCCGGTCCGTCACTTTCAAAAACTTTCACTCGTCGAAGTAAGCAGTGGCAAAATGGGAGCTTGCATGGACGGCTGAGGGGAATTCTCTTGAGCTCTAGGCTCGACAGCTGAAGTGCTGCATATGGAAAACAGAAGCTCAGCTGAGGCTGTTAGCGACTTTCGAGCCAGAGCTTCACCGTGAGGTGGGCAAAGAGCTGCTTGCACATACAGTTTACTTGATGCAGCAGCTCCCATCGTGTCGTGTCACATGTGCTGTCACGCGAGCTTACGAGATTCAGGGCATTTCGGCTACAAGCAGACAAGATTCATCATGCGTCTGATAGGAGCTGGAGACCATCCCAGCAGGAGCTGTGCGGGTTGGTGCTCTGGTGGCAACTGGTAATGTTCCGATTCCGAGGTTGCAGCGATTCAGATTGAGTCCGCTGTGCAGTGGTCAACGCTGTTGTCAAACACAAGCAGCTTTGGCTAAAAGTGCTTGCAAGCTAGTCCTCTATGAAACAATAGCCAGTAATAGCAGTGTCTGGTGGCAAAGGATCTTCCGACCCTGCCCAGGGGCCCTGGCAAAAGTGTTCGACGGCCTGGGCGGCTTCATCGCTGTAGCGATCGCTGCTGCCACTGCGGATGAAGAGCTGAGCGGGGGTGGCGCCGTTTCTCGGGATGCACTTATCAGGAGCTTGCACCTTCATCAGCCGCATTCTGGCCTGGCAAGCTTGCGGTTTTAGACCTTTCGTTCCTGGATTTGCGATTTATTCAGAAGGTTGCAAAGCACGGTCGTCAAATTGCAGGGCTGTGTTGCACATGTATGTTCTCCTGGGAAATTGCCAGTGGGTTGTGCAGAGGCTGAGGCACCTGAGCGCCCGGCTGGGCATGCAACCCTTCGTATCCCCTCGTGAGAAGCATTGGCAGATACTTGAGGCCAACTGTGCAAGCTCGCCCAACCAAGGAGCTCTGTCCAGTTCGTTCAGATTTGCCTGGTGCTTACCACAATGCCACTTTTCTTTCATGGGATCGCAGTGACATCGGCCTGCATGATCCAAGCTCAAGAGGCTTTGTTGATCGTTGCTCTTGCGGACGGTTGCTACTGGTAGTCGAGTTCTGCACGGGTTCGGGCAGCCCGTTGCTGAGAGCATGTCTTGCGTCGTACTGCTATAGCGATCGCTGCCACCAAACCTATACACTTGCCTGCACTCGCGCCTTGCAGTTGATTGCAGCTTTGATCTGGCCAGTGTAGCAGGAATGGCTTTCTGTGGTGGGAGCTGGATGGCTCACTCCGCCACGTTGCCATACCCCAGGCAGTAGGGAGGATCCTTTCGGATCCTAGGTATGTAGTTGCAGTTGCAGCAGTCTTTGTGGGGCAGTCTGATGCATGTAGATGTACGCAACATCACGCCTACCTCTTGACGACCTTGTCGGAGAAAGGGCACCAACGCCGTGGAGCTGCGACGGACACAGGCCAGCACCAGTGCGAGGGGCACCGCAAAACCCTGTAAGCTTTAACCGCCCCCTTTTCCCTTCCATGCCCTTTCATGTCGGTGCTTTGTTCTGGGCTCTTTTTGTGCCTTTTTTGTTGTTTGTTTTGTTTTATTTTGTTCTGTTTGTTTGGTTTTTTTTAATGGAGGCAGGCCTCGCCTTCCGCTGCCTCCGAGCAGCAGCGCTGCCCGGCCGAGGCTGCCAGGCCGGGTCGCTGGGGGGGGAAAATGTTCGCGGATTCGGTGAAAATGAACCTAAAGTGTGAATCATGCCATGAGTTCTCTACCCGGTACCTCCTCTCTACCTCCAAGCCCCCCCCCCCTCCCCACCCCCACCCCTACCCACAAAGGCTCCTATTCTGGGCGTGAAAGATGTTGATGTAGAAAGCATACAAGGTGCTGCAGCTTGATCCCCGGGAGCCGCTCCCGATCTTCGAGCTGCCAATGGCTCCGACCAGGTGCCATGTCAATGTGGGGAAGATCCAGGGCCGGGCTTGATACCCTTTTTAAGGAATATGCAATATACTGTATATACTGAGTATACTATGCGATACCCTAGATGTCATGGCTTGACCTCACTCACCACCGAGCGCCAAACGGTGCTGGATCAATACTGAATGCCCGAGATACATCCGTGCCAGTGACAGGCGATTTGCAGCCTTGCATGGAAAGACTGGCATGGCATATCAGAACCAGCATCCGACTGACCGGACCAACCTGACCGGCAGAAGTACTGACAGAGACAACATCTTGATCGGCACTGGTGACCGGCTATGCAATCACGAAGCATATTGTCATCACATTTGTCATCATCTTCATTATCATGATCATAAGTATGATCACTATCCTCACGTATCATCCAACTGGATCATGGCCATAGTGTTGGTCATGACCACCATCATCATCATCATCATCATTCTAATGATCATTTGCATTTTCGTTTTCATGATTCGTAGTTGGGCAGTAGACTTGGCTGGGCCTGGCTGCACGTTGCAGGCTCTCAGTCGCCTTGCCTGGCGGCAGCGGGCGATCCGAATGGAGCCTGCCGCTGCGCTTGCCGTCCGTGTCGTACACAGGGCATGTTTCGTCAGGGCTTGCTGAGAGCCATGCACCTTCGACAAAGCGTCTGCGTTCTGGAGTGTTTGGTTCTGCATCCACCGAATCGGAATTGAAGTGCGGAATGTCATAAACCTCATAAGCATTCATAAGCTACACGTCATTAGGGTCGCGCCAGGCAGCGAGGCGATTTGTCGGGGCCTGATGTTGGACATTTCAAGCACCATGCGCAGCATCGTGAGACCAAACTCAGCTGATGCCTTGTCCGGCACCATGATCGGTGCTCGTATTGTCACTGCAGTGTGAGTCTCCTGACTTTTTTCATTGCTTGACTACCAGGCGCCCCATGTCTGGCCATGATAGACAAGCGAAAACTCCTTAAAGTATCTTTCAGCTCAACAAGGCCAGTGCAGCACTGGGCTTCGTCATCTTTCGAGGCGCGTCGGACTTTGATTTCGTTTGCCTGCTACGGCAACCTGTGCCTGTGTCAGATTGTGTCAGGTTTTGTCGTGTCACCTACCAGCCGAAGAAGTCTTGGAGGTGTGCTGAACTCAGTCTTATGCACTCGTGGAACTATGTGGTGCGCCGAAGCTGTCAATGTATGGCAATGTGCAAGCACAGAACAGAAAGAGCTTCAGGACACTTGCAGAAGCCTTGTGACTGTCCTGCAAGCCACCCAAGAATACATTATAGAGACTTGACTGTCAGATCCCCTTTTGCTTGAGGCGCTGGGCGCGTGCCATCTTCCCGCTCTTTGCACGCCGGAGCGAAGTCCCTCAAACGGATGCTGGCCTGCGATTCAAAGCTGGGCCATGTTGGCTTTCCTGGCATTTCTGGAGCTCCAGCCCCTTTGAATCTGCCGGGTGAATAGTGCATAAGCCATTGCAGTCGACGTCTGAGAGAGTATAGCTGTTGCGTTTGCTTGAACGTAGGTGCTTATGCCGCAGGAGACTTGTGCAGAACCCATTGCTTTCGCCTGGAAATTCCGGCGTTGGGCCGAAGGGTTGCTAACCTGACAGAGCCGTCAGTTTCTGATCACGGTCCGGAAAAGGCTCATGCATTGATGCACTCACGCGGGCCAGCACCCTTCAAGCGCCGCATCCTGGGGTTCGTTTCCCCTGATGCATAATTCCGCGATTGATGTTCAGTTTTTGCGATGCAGCATCTGCTTGGGGTGATGCGTATTCTTATCGGGTGAGGTGAGATACATCCACGCGGGGCTTGCAACTGCCCTGGTTTTACGATTCATAGTGCAAGTTTGGAACGTTTAGGGTTGTATAAGCTTCGGGCGGTCGAAAAGACGACATCGAAGTCATCCAAGTTCGCCATGCGGCAAATCTTCCAAAATGAGCCCATGATAGCCCACCCCGGAGCCCGCAGAGCCCATGCCCAGGTTTAGGGCGTAGCCCTTTAGGATCCTTCTGGCCTCTTGGCCTCGGTGGAAGGTACGGATCCCATACGATCAACTCCATTCAACCCCCATGCCCATATCCAAACAAAGCCTGAAAGGGCCTGTGAACCCAGGAAGTGGTGATCGGCGCTCGACGCTGGTGCCCTCCTTGGGCCATCACGGAACCAGATGAGACACAGCAAGTCTCGCCATGTGGGTGTTCATTCAAGTTATAGGCCTTCTGTTTACCTGCCTAAACAAACCAAGAAATGTGAATAAATGAAGTTTGTATTTCATGTCATGCGAACCAGTCGAAGCAATCGAAGCTGCTCTCCAGCGATTTAAGCTTGCCCCCAGGTTTGTCAATAGCTCAAGTTTGCCGATCCAGCTCGTACTCGCGGACCGGGCATTGTTTCGACTTGCGCCTGTCACATGCTGCTGGCTGTCGCTGGACGTCCTCGTGGAGCCCTCACAAGTGCAGCTTCTCCCCCGGTTGCGAACATGTTCGGCTGAACCAAAGATATCCAAAGATAATGCGTGCAAGCCCCTGCGCGAGGATGGATCGGCGCTGCCACATCTAGCCTCGGAAGGCACCATGTAAAGTGTCTCTGACCCTAATTCGCGTACTAGACAGGGAAGACTACATGTGAAGGTGCTTTGGAGCACTGTAAATTCCGAGGATACGCCTTGCTGGTTTGACGGCTGTCACATGGACATGCAGGACCCAAGCTCACTGGATTAGTTGCACGAGGCTCCCAACAGGCTAATCTTCGGCGAATATAGTCTGTACATGTCAGGACCGGGTTGAAGCAATCGCAAAACTTCGCGAAACCTGCTTACGAAGGTGCTACGCTTCTGGCTCATCCCCTTCAAGAGGTGCCGTCGTGCTGAGGTTTTGTGAGAGATCCGTCCTTTTAGCCACGGAGAATAAGTTCGGCTTGCCAGCCCCGGGGCCCGATGTAATTTGCATGTTTGGCGTGGGTTTAACCGCAGCATGACACTATGTCTTGGTTTTTTGCTTGGATGCCTCATCTTCTCTCGGAGGCTTCAGTTCATATGTTGGTTCCATTCCTTTCCGAACAGGTGGATGCTGCAGAGGCTCGAGATTGAGATCAATGCTAGAAAGACGACTTGTCTGCCAGCTGCCAGCTGCAAGCATACGACTGGGACAGAGTGGCCTGCACCGCTGCAAATGTCTAACTCCTACCGTGCCTGCCACTCCTTCTGACAGTTCCGTTGCGCAGGCACAAAGCTGCATGCAAAGGCACGGCAGGGCAGCTTGCTGTGCAGGGTCCGCCTTAAAGTTTTGGCTGGCTTTAGCTGGTTTTGGTGAAGGCCCACTGCCCGGTAGGGGCCTGAATGTCGTGGCGTATTGCCTTCGAGAACAGAAATGAGGCGTTGTTTATCAACATACTGAGTGTATGGTGGCCGACCGTTTTTACGGGGACGCTCGTTTCAGGTGACCCCCATCCCAGAAGGGTGGGTTTCATAGATCCAAGGGAGCTTGGGCGTCACGGGAAAATAAAACAACGAGGAAGCGAGCGATCAAGCATGTTTTCGGTGTTTGATTTTTGAGGTAGATGGGAAAGTTGTTGTTTTCGTCCGGCTTTCCACGTTTGTCCTTTGTAAACATGGCAAAGAAGACATTCTTGGCAGGATTTGTTTGTTTCAATTTTTCGTTGTTGAAATATACATTGGCGGGGAGTTTATCCTTGCTAGCCGCGTTGACGCTGCTTGTTTCTGGCCGTTTTGACGGTTTTTGGGCTTTAGGGGCTGCGAAGGGTAGCACGCAGGCCTGGAAGCTCGCCCTTGCGACGGTTGCTTACTTTGTTTAGTGTTCTTCTCTTCGTCGTTTGGTGTTGCTGCAGGATTTGAGGTGAAATTCTCGGAAATATTCGTGATGCATGGCTGATTCAGGAGATTGTGCCTTCGAAATGAAAATTTGTGCCAGATTAGGTCCCACCAGTCCCACCTGCGCCATTTTGTGGCCATGAAAGCCCTCCGCGACCCTCCGCGACCCTCCGCGACCCTCCGCGACCCTCCGCGACATCCCCGCGACATCTCCGCGACCTCCAGGCCAGGGAGGCAGCCTGGGAGGCCCGCGATGTCCCGCGACTTCCCGCGACCCTTCCGCGACCACAAATATGCCTAGAAACCAGCGCTTTTTTGGTGATGTCTTTAGCCGCGAACCCCCGCGACCCCCCGCGACCTCCCGCGACCTCCCCGCGACTCGCGGGTCATTTAGGGTTAGGGTGAAGGGTTCTGGAGGATTTTGGGGTTGTTTTTGAGTATTTCTTGTCACTGGTTGTTTTTGAGGGTTTTTTCTTTTTTTTGGGCGTTTGTGTGGGAGTTTTGCTCACGTTCACCACCGGCACACAAGGTTTAGTCCAAATCCGCTTCCGCGCTCAGGGTTACAGTCTGCGTGTGTCTTGCAATGAGCGGATTCGCGTCTTTGCGCCCAAAATATCCCTCAAGTGCCGCCCGCCCACCCATACGACGCCCGAACAGAGTCTCTGCGCTGTGGATATCGTGCTTGGGCTGCCCGTGTCTTGTGCAAACACAAAGGACAGCAACACAACCGTGCAGGATCATATGCTCACGCGCGTTCGCCATTAAGCGCCCACGTGCCAAGGTTTCAAGGCGGAGGGTTGAGATTTTAGGGTTCAGGGTTTAGAATTGTAGGGGTGGTTGAGTTCCCCTCCTGTGTGGTCAGACCCTGTTTTCAAAGTGGGGGTTTGTTAGGTGTTGCCGCTCTTCCAGAAGCGTTTCGCAGTTGATGGTTGCAGAGTTGAAGGTATGGAGAGTATGGAGAGAAATCCAATGTTCTGGCATGCCCATCTCCTGAATGGCCCGTCCTGGTATTTGTGGCCGGCCCCCATAACTGAGTGATCCCTACTTTTGGAACCTCGGAGACCCAAACCTTCTAGCAGGATCTGCGGCTGCTTCCGTGGATCTTCAGGCACCTCCCGGTGTAGGTGTAGCGCAGCATGGACAGTATGGGCACGGCCTGCGACTGAATCAGCTGAAGGTGCGCATGGTGACCTGGTTTGCAAGTTTTACAGTACAGGCGTTACAGGCGTTGCGTGGCCAGCGTGATTCCTTCCACCATGGGCCGCACCCTGACATGGGCAGATCCAGATCTCAGCTCCACCATCTCCGTGGCCTGTGGTCGTGATTGTGTCCAAGTCCAGCTGCCAGGCACGACAGTGACAGCGCGCGGCAGTGAACGAGCCTGTGCCCGCGCTTGAAGATAATCGAAGCCAGGTGTTGGCGGCTTTGAAGATGTTTCCTTCCCAAGCGGAGAGGCTCGGGTAAATGGGAAACACAGGGGCCATCGGACTACCATCTAGTCCGATATGAAGAAGCGAGCAAGTACTTGATGCATGCATCGTTATCTGCAAATGGTGAAAGCATGTGAAAGCCCATAGCACGTCGCTGTGCTCGGCAAACATAGAAAAACCTGGCACATCGGGCAGTCAGCACTAGCAACGGGAAGTTTCTTGTGCTGTGGGGCAGCTTCTTAGCTTGGCATGGGTTCTTTGGCTTCAGTGCCATGAGCCATCGCAGCAACTCAGCTTGTGCGTCAGGAGTGCGTCCTCCGCGAAGAGAGTCTTTCCCTTGCCATGACATTCGGGCTCGTCACCAGGCTCAGTTATCAGAATGGGCCTGTGCTGTCTAGCATGGGGCATCAATCGAAAACTCCCACAGGCTTGCTCCAGTTCAAGTCATAAAGGGGCATGAGCGCGAAACAACTTCCGATGCAATCCCAAACCCAAAACTGCAGCTTTGCTCCAAGGATTGCAGCCTGATCTCTCTGGCTCCATCGTTAGTCATCTACAACTGCTCGTCGGAGCAGGCTTTCCAATTAGCACAGGTGAGCAGTTGAGTCCTGCAATTTGAGAGGGCCTCCGACAGTTCCTGAGACACACCGCCGCATGGATCATCAATCTAGCTTATGGTTGGGCATCTTCTCCTGACTACTGTATGATGACTGTGTTGTGTTGATCCTGTTTTTTATGCGGCTGCGCCTGTCTTCTGACGGAAGGGAGAGAGAGAGAGAGAGAGAGAGAGAGAGAGAGAGAGAGAGAGCGAGAGAGCGAGAGAGCGATCGCTCTCTTCCCAGTCTGTTGACCTTGGCTCGTCCCCTGAGGTTGGTTTCTTGTGGTGTGGGCAGGCCTGGAATTTCTTCTGTCACGCGAAGCAATCTTACCCGTGTGGCACTTTTCTAGTTTCTTTTCTGCTGCTGTTGCCCTGGAGTGTCGACAAAGGATGAAGAGGTACCTGTCCTGCATGGTCTGGCAGGTGCCTGCCCAAGCCGAGTGGCTCAGCGCGGGCCAGTGCAACTTGGTGCACTGAGTTGCTGGAGTCCGCTGGAGATGTATTCAGTCATGATTCAGATTGATTCAGTCATGCTCACCACCTACAACTTGTGCTTGTCGCTTGTCCGCATGGATTAAGTTCGCGTCCGGCTGAGTCGTAAGCGCTTTGCGAGTTCCCTCGACTCCTCGACCACCAGGCTGAGCGTGCATGGCCGAACCACACACATCTCAAGACTCAGACGCATGTGCAACACCAACATTGCAACGTGCGCAGCTGCTGCAGCAACGCTGAAACACCAACACTGAGCAGCCAGGGGAGATACGAGGAGAGGAACCATTCCATCGCCAAGAGGTCAAAATCGTCCATACACCAAAAGGCTGTTTGTCAAATCACTCAGAGCCAAGGTGTTTGCTCGTGTCGTAGTGCGCGTTGTTGGGCCTTCTCAGAGCTGGAGATGCTACCCATTGCGACTCTATACCCAGATGTCTGCTCACAATTGCTCCTAGTTCGATCTTTTTCGAAGATCATTTCAAGGCAAAGCGCTGCGGGTGCCCGCAGAGCTCAGTGAAGAGAGTGCAGATCTCAGCGACAAAGACTCGTGCTCTGTGAATCTGCTTCTGAGATCACTGCAGGCAGCAGAAGCTTGCTGCTCCCCGTGGCCAGGGACGCCGCGCCAGAGCGGCCAAAGTTGCAGGCTGAGATGTTGGTGATCAAGAAAGTGAGTCAGAAGGTCGCATGCCGATTACGCAACAGGTCCTGGTCAAGTCAGTTCGCGATGAGCTTCTGATTTCCCCCCCCTTCGCCGTTGACCGGGCCGCTGCAGGCCCTTTTCCACGGGTGATGATGACAGCAAAGTGTCTGCCGTTTTTGGCGAAGCCCCGCTGCCAGGCTGCAGTGCAGCCCTGGCGCTGCCCTCCTCCGGTCGTCCCGAGCTCCGCCGGGTGGCTGTAGACGAGGCTCGTCCACCTCTCGTCATCAGGCACAAATGGCCACTTCATGGTGTGGGTCGAATCATGCCAAGGCCTTCGGGGCCGTGGCAGTCTCCGTGTTTGGTCGGGAGCGCTGCCATCAGCTGACATGCGAGGAGGGGCTGGAGGCCATGTCCGGAATGCCGCATATGCCAATGACTTTGGTGGGATTTGTTCGCGCGTTTGAAAGCCATCAGACAGAATCAGGCCGCACACGAGTTGCATCTTGATTGTGCACAGTTGTCATCCACGGTTGAAGTGATCAGTGTGAACTAGCATCGGCCACCTAGCTGTTCCTGTTGTCCATGCCTTACTGGAGCAGATGTGAGAAAACTGCAAGCAGAGGCTTATGTCGACACGGCCCCGTCCGATGTTGCACGCAGTGGCGCCAGCATCTTCTTTGGGGTGGCAGAGTGGCCAGATGGCAACAAGCCCATTGCTTGCTAGATGTCCATTCAAGAAAGTCTACTGTAGTGGTGCCCCCACTGCGGAAGCCGCAAATGATTCCCAGCGAGCGATGTTCACAAGTTCCCCTCACGCTGCACTTCCTCAACAGAACAGTGGTTGCGACGGTGCCTCCGGCGCGGCATGGAACATCACCGAAGGACCCAGACCACGTACTCTACTGTAGGGAGAGCGGTCTGCTCCTGCCGCCACTACCATTTTCATTGGGTTGAAATGCTGACATTAGCTGACGCTGACACACCTTGACACATCTAGATAACTAGATGCTTGAGCCCAAGCTTAAGCGACGCATGCGACCTTCAGATTTTTCAGGCCATTTGACAGCTCGCCCTCTGTTGTGCTGGTGTTGCAGCGACCAGGGTTCGGGGCCAAGTGTTCGACTCACCCAGTGAGAGTCGTGTCTGCACAATCTCATGTCGCTGCCCAACGTTGAAAGGCCTGGCATAGCTCGCATTACCGTCGCTCTGAGCCGGAACAACACGCAGGCCTTGGGCAAACGCTTTGCCGTCATTTCACTGTGCAGTCGAAGGTGAACCCAGCTACGAAAGGAGACGCCAGACGCGCAGTGTGTTGCGGGTGATTGTTCCGAGGCCATTCCGGCCACTTCGTCGCTGGGCGTGCCCGCACGAGTGGACGTTAGCATCAAGGCAAGCACAAGTAAGTTGCTTCTCCAACTTCACTGTTCCTTTTGAAGAAACATGCACCGGCATGGCAGCCAGTTCCATCCTGCCGTGGGATACCTTGAGCGATCTGTCACACCGAGCACCACTAGGCCACTACGTAGGCCACTTGGACGAGTAGAGCCGGCTCGATTGCCCTCTCGTGTGCAGTTATCAGTGCTTCATCCATTGTACCGTGCAAGTGGGATTTAATGTCGCAGTGAAGATCCCTTTGAGATCCCCTGTGTACGAAACAAGAAAAAGCAAGGCCTTATCATGTCCTGCGTTGCTAGCTCCCCTTTGTCAGCACATGAGCGGCGCCGTAAACCTTCCATGAAAGAATTAGATTGAGGGTTCGCCTTTGATTGGCCCGCGTCAGCTAAAGTCCGAGGCGCGCCAGTGCGCGATAGTTTCTGCGAGAGAGCTCTGGTTGCGAGAGCGCGCGATAGCGCGCGATAGCGCGCGAGAGGGTAGGGTTGAGGGTTGAGGGTTGAGGGTTTAGGGCTTAGGGTTTAGGGCCGCGAAATCCGCGTCAGCTGCGCGTCAGCTCCGCGATCTCCGCGCGTCAGCAACAGGTAGGCTAGGTGACCCATTCATCTTCAGCTTAATAGCGCCCACACCCCGACGGAAAAACCGCGCAACAGCCGAAACAGCACAGGGTCTTTAATTAATGGGGTTGGGCGAAGTAATGACCAGTGAGGGCTTCATTTCCAGGTCTCATCCCAAACCTCTTGGAAAGTTTAGTGTTCAGGCATTTCGGGCTCAATATTAGGGTTCAGGCTAGTCTGAAGGTTTGGGGTCTTGTGTTGGCTTCCCGCGATAGTCCGCGTCAGTGCAACCCCAAAAAGCACGTGCGCGTCAGCGCGCGATGCGACCTGCAGCAGGCCGCGTCAGAGCCCGCGAGAACTCTACCATAGTCGAATGAAAAGTTCAAAGGGTTTTCGGCACTGCTCACATGACAGTCCCCGGCTGAAGCTTAGCAGCTTTGCATTGCGCATTGTATTTCGTCCCTGCTCGCGAGGAACGTGTTGCGACGGTTTCCGTGACCTTGGGCCATGGACGTGTGGACGAGGCAAACTGGGCCCCTGGGCCATCCCGCCTGTGTGCTTGGTTTGGATCGCTCCGGCGCACGCTCAAATCCTCAAATCCTCTCTTCCTTCGTTGGATGTTGTCTTGATGAGTGCAAGAACATAAACTTAGAAAGTGCTGTTTTAATAAACCGGCAACGAAGATGTCCCTCAATGCCTTGCAGAGCCACCGCAATTACAACCAGACTCGAACAGCAGCAGCAACACACGTGTGTGTTCCGCAGCACACATTGGTATTTACACGCCTTCCTGTAGCTTGCTGTCATTTGCTGCCCCTAAGCCCTAAGCTTGGTATTCAGCTTGACATTGTTTATGCTTGATTGCAGAGGAGGCGGGGTGGGCCGGGTTCGGGGTGATGGGAGAAGAATTCAGCTGACTTCGGCGCTCACAGCAGTTCAGGAGGCCGCGGAGTCGGAGATGTGCCATGACCTGCAGCCACTCGCCTACAAGGGCATCGCCCGAGTTCAGACCATGTCTGAGTCCCACGAGCATAGGCTTCAGGCACCTTCAGACACCTCTATCAGGCTTGGCGGCCTGACATTGTCCCTGGCAGAGTCACCAGGCCCGCAGGAGGCCTGGCCATGAGTGGCGTAAGGACCCCTTGCGAACGCGACTGCTGGGCATTGCTAGACTAGAAATCTGGCACTTTGGACTCAAACTTCGCTCTCAGTGCATGTGACAGACTGTCCGAGACATCTGAAGACAAGCCTGCCCCGAGGGTCCTATGATGGGTTTCAGCCCCGAGACGATCTCCGTCGCCTTGGACGGATTTCAGGCAAGGCTCCGCCAGACAGTTATTTGTTGCTGCCACTGCTTCCCAAATGAGTATAGGTACGGGTAAAGGTACTGTAGTTATCATAGTAACAATAGTACTGGCTGAGCCCACAGGAGGTTGTAGCCGTGAATCGGGTAGATGAGTCATACACCTCAGCAGTCACACATCACGAACTGGTGGAGGTGCGATTACGACGGTTCGCGAACGACAGCGAAGAGGCCCCGCCGTGAGTTTCGAAGGAGGAACCGGCTGCAAAGTTGGAGACTGCCCGCCTGGGCGAAGATACTGCAACCATGCTGCCTGGCAGTTCAAAATCCGCATTGACGCCGTGCAAGTGGACCTGCGCCCAAAGAAGGCCCCGTGGCTCAGTGTCGCTGGCTGTGGTGCTTCTTCTTTCTTTCCCTTCTCCCCTTCTTCTCGTTTTCTCTTCTTCTGCTTCTTCTCTTCTTCTCTCGTTCTCCCCTCCTTCCTCTCCTTCCTCTCTCCTTCCTCTCTCCTTCCTCTCTCCTTCCGCTCTCCTTCCTCTCTCCTTCCTCTCTCCTTCCTCTCCTTCTGCTTGAGAGGCGCGGGACCTGGAGGCCCGGGTGCTCCTGGCCTCGCTGCCACGGCGGCCGTTCCTTCGCCGCCGGGACTTTCAGATGTCAAAATAAACTGCTTGCTACTTTTTCCAATTTTACAAATACTTTTTGAGTGGTTTCGCAAGAGAGACTAAACATTTTGAACTCATACCGCCTGGCAGCCTGGCAATCCTGCAGCTGAGCACTAGGTCGAGCTTGTCCATCAAAGCGCTTACTCTCGCGAGCGCCGGAAGATTCCTCGAAGAAGCAAATTTTCCCAGCAAGCCACAACTCCGCCACTCTGCCATGATGAAATCAACAGACGAACACAGGCTGGAGCTCCTTGCGCCGTGCGCGCAGCGACCCTGCCGAGTGGTGTCTGGGCTTTTGCGCAGGGTTTGGGACGGTTTGGGATCCCTGAAATGTTGTTCAGAGGTGGGTTGTGATGACGCTGGTTTGTTCGAGAGTCTTCGTTTTACCGTTCTTGCTGACTGAGTTTGAAGTGACCTTGACCTTGCTTGGGCCTTTCAGGCAGGCGCTCTTTCAACGTCTTTATAGAGCCTAATTCTGCTAAGGAGAGCATGACACAAACAACAAGACCAGGCAAAACCTGTGCATTGTGGCAGCCGGAAGTTGAGTTTGGCCCTTCTCCCAGAGAAGGGGACATACGTAACCAGCCAGCTAAAATTTGGCTGAAACGCTAACTTCAGTCCAAAACACACCTGGACGCATGCGCAGTTGCCAGACACAGACGCAGGCTCCTATCGGAATCATCACCAGCCAAGGCGCATGGGCCTTTGCCGTTTGGACTTGGGTCCGGCGGAGGCTCTGTAAACCGAACATGCATATACAAGAAGTGTTTGATTTAGGACCGGGACATGCAGGGATGAGACATGAGTGTCTGATTCATCTTGGGTTCTCGGATTTGACAAAGATGTGTACTGGAGTGTGGATGCTGAGTGCGGTTGCCATATGTCACAGTCAGTTCGAGATTCAGAGGTTCCGAGCTCATCGCTGCGTTGGCACTGTGGATATCATGATGTGCAGCCTCAGATGCTTCACCTTCAGCCAAGATTCCTGCAGGTTACCGTGACAGAAGCTGTCTGGCAGGACCCAATGACATGTGTGACATCTTGTGGGCAGCAGTTAGAGAATCTGGAGCTTGTTTGCAGCGCATGGGCCGACCTGCAATACTTGTTTCAATGCCAGGAGGTCGGCCGTTTCCTGGACCTGGCTGCCTCTGCCCCCAGGGGGCTGGACCAGCAGGCAGCGCATGGCGGCATGGCCGTCGCTCATAACAAGGGCGACTCATGGCGAAGCCGGGGGGGGTGCGACGGTCCATCTTTGGCTCCCCAATCCTTGCCAACAGTGTCAGGCATTTTCGGCGCGCATGGACAAGGCGATCCTTCGGGCATCGAGAACAGTTTTCACATGTTGGCGCCTGCAGAGAGCAGTTCTGACATCGAGAACAAACGCCCAAGGGCCCAAGGGCGTTTGTGCTAGGAGCTGCCAACCTCGCCGCCGAAGAGCGGACAGCGCTTACAACTCGAGCAGCTCAGCGTCGAGGCCACAAACTGCGTGTTGGAAAGCTCTGTCAACTGAAGAAGCAGTCACTGCACTCGACACCAGCGCACATGATCCGAGACCTCTTGTACAAGCTGGCAACCGAAGTTTGTGCTCGTTCCTAGCAGCTGGAATGAAGTCAAGTACCGCACCATGGATGGGCAGAGCATCAACTGAATACACGCCTAGACCCTGCCTTGACAGCCCGGGCCCGTGCATGGGTCAGGCAGTGAGCCTCAAAGTTTGGTGCTCGCTCTACCTGCCCGAGGCATCTCAGGGTTTTTTGGCGCGCAAGTTGCCAAAAAGAGAGAGAGACAGTGACCTCACTGACCTCCCTCAGTGTCCTGTGTCCCTGGCATCCCGCGTAGGCAACGTTCCTCCCTGCAGCCCTGCGCTCGGCCGCGCCTTGGCCAGTTTTGGCAGCCCAAGATACAGAGCTTGCTTTGTCCTTAGTGCTGGGATGTCCTTGGTGATGTGCTGTCAGGTGGAGTTCTGGGGCCTGGGCACTGAGACATTGGTGGTTGAGGGAGCAAAGGCGGATACTAGCGCAGTTCAAAGTGCTGTGTTCTGTGTGATGATGTGCTGTCGGCGTCACTGTGTCCGTCACAGAACTCTCCGATATGATAAATCACATCAAAGCTTGCGCATGCAGACTTCCCATGTCTTCGAATTGCTGTGCTGTCAGGTACGCGTTGCTGCACAACCCTGGCTCGTTGGAAGCTGCTTTGGTGCAAGTCTTCTATGAATATCTGCGGAGCCTAAAGGGATCCAAAGGGTTTAATCGTGCAGCTGATGCCGACACAACGAGGAGGTGGGCGTCAGCTTGTGGGGTCGGTGTCTTCCGTCCTGGACAGCTTGTCTCGCGCCTACTTGCCACAGGTGGGACTGCGCCGCATGCGCAAACTGATCTCTTGAACATGTGCACGGCTCATTGAACGAAATCTGCAGGTGAGAAGCTCAATGCAACTTGGCGAGACCTCTTTGTCTTTGCCTCGTTGACATACAGTATAAGACATAAACCAATGACTGGTTGCCCGTAAGAGTTGTCTGTGGAGTGTGCAAGTTTCCAAACGCCCGGAAGAAATAAGTACAAGAATCAATCGATTTGTCGCCTAAACACTTGTAAACATTGGTCGTGGAGTGTTGCAGCATGTGTCAAGTATGTGTCAGATTCTCTCTTGTCGCCAATTCCAACGCTGCCCTCGGTGGTCTCCTTGGCCTGCGCTGGTGGCGCCGGCTTTTCGGCTGTGCCCGGCGCCGGAGTCCCAGTCGACAGCTGCCGCGTGTGAGTGAAATACTCACGATGTCTCCTGTGCGAGCCAAAAGAGCCGACTTGCCTAGATCTTTCAGCCGCCGTGCACGTCGTCATGGCCACTGAAGGTCAGACAATCCGCAGCGTGCGCCCTGAGCTGTGCGCCCTGGGAGTGGACGGTGCCGTTCGCGCGTCCGCTGCTCGGGGCGAAGGCTACGTGGCAAAAGCCTTGTCCCACTTTCAAGGTTTCCTGAAGGCGTTGTGAAGCACGTGATCCGACAGCAAAGCCAAGTACGAAGGTGTGAGTCCCAGCGTAAGTAGGGGTTTACGTAGATCTGAGGCTCCTGGGTGTCGCAGGTGGGCTGCCCAGTTTTGCCTTGTGTTGTGAGAGAGAGTAGAATCCAACAGAGGAGACAGTTGGGATGTTTCTTGTGGGACGTTAGCCCACCGGCTGCCGTTGACACAGCATCGGTTGTGCTACGCTATTGGCACCATGCGGCTACGTGTGGCTATGTGTGGCTATGTGTGTCGGGCCGCAAAGGTGGACAGCAATCTGGCTGCGAGGCAGGCAGAGCCAGCGGGCGGCCGTTGGGCAAGGTCGTCTGCTCATCAGATGCCTTGAGGGTTTAGGGTTTAGGGTTCATTGCCTTCTCTGGGTTCGGGTTTAGGGTTTAGGGTCTGGCAGGTGGCTTGGGGTTGAGGCTCTAGTGTGCCAATAGGGCTTCGAGCTTTACACTCATCTGCCTCTCCTACTGACATGGAGCTTATCAAGAGAAAGCACTGGCCATGTAGAATCGACGGATTCGCTGACGGAGTAGTAAAAAGAATCCATCCGTCCATCCATAACTCACATGGAGGAGCGGATCTCGCAGTTATTTGCTTAGACTACTACGATGGATGCAATGGAGGGAAGTATCGACTGTTCAGATGCACGGCATACGAAAGCTAGGTCCAGGTGAGCACATGGAGCCACAGGCACGCACGAGGACTCAATCACCACGAGCGAAGCCAACGGGTATGGAAGTAAGGATGACAACATGAGAAAGATGGGGGTGTACGAACATAAGGGACCACCAATAAGGTCCCCCAAAGAGTGGGATCCCCTCTGTGAAATCAGTGCAGGCTTCCTCCCTGGCCATATCACCCGCGGCTCTTCTTTTCGGCCCACAGAGGGCCCTCTTGATCCTTAAGCTACTGACTTTGCAGTGTGCGTAAAATTGAGTCCGAGCCATAGATTCGAAGTGGGCGCTGTCAGTTGGCAGCGGAGTCTGCGTGGCTCTTGGCGGCGTGTGTGGCGTCGCAGCCGGCGGTCCCAGGGGCCTGCTGTTTCCCTCCTCGCCTTCTAACCGATCAGCCGCGGGAAGGTGGTGACGTATCTGATCGAGCCCAGCCACGTCGACATCTACAAGAGCGAGTGAGTGAAGATGCCATCTACTTCGGAAGGACAGTCCTCAGGCGATCCTGGAGGATATGTCTACCGAGATAGAGATCCCCCACCTTCTTGGAACGGTTCCACTCCAGAGGTCTCTTTCAAGACCTGGCTTCGAGATCTTGAGCTGTGGGAGGCCACGACGGATATTCCCAAGGAGAAGAGGGCGATCAAGCTGGTTCAAGCTCTCACAGGGCCAGCAAGGGAGGCGGTGTCGTCTTTGACGCTGGCCGAGCTCCAGCATGCGGACGGCTACAAGACGGTGATGAAAGTGCTCAACGACAACTTTAAGCCGTATGTGGAGACAGCGTTGCCGAGGGCCATGGAGGGCGTGTTCTATGGCCAGGCTAGAGGTGCCAAGGAGTCCATCCCGGATTACCTGGTGCGCGCGTCGCATGCCTTGGCGGAGCTCAAAGCCGAGGGCGTGGACCTTCCGGCGAAGGCTGCCGGATACTTGCTGTTCCGGCAGGCGAACTTGGACAAAGAGCTGGAGTCCCGTGTGGTCACGTGGTTGGCTGGCGACTACACCAAGGATGTGGTGATCGCCAACCTAAGGCGACTTGACCGCATCAACTCGAGCAGCTCCGGGTCCAAGGCGATGCTCTGGACGGAGACTGAAGAGGGCGAAGGCCAGGAGGTGTACTACGAGAACCACGAGCACTATGGCGAGCCCGAGTTCTACCTGGAGGCGGAAGACGAAGAAGACGAGAACTACGTGTACCTAGAAGACGGCGAGCTGGACGCGGTGTACGAGGAAGGCGATGTCATGGAAGCCTTGGCGTCGTACCAACATGTTCGGCAGCAGCTCAAAGAACAGCAAAAGGGCCGGCAGTACTACCAGCCGAACCTTGGCAAGAAAGGGGGCAAGAAGCTCTTCAACAAGGACGGCAAGAACACCGGCAAGCAGAGCAGCAAGTCCTTCGGCAAAGGCGGCTCGGCATGGAAGGGGTCGCCTACGTCACGAAGAGTGCACATAGAGCAGCTCAAGCTTAGGACTCGATGCCGGGCTTGCGGAGAAGTCGGGCATTGGAGCAAGGAGTGTAGGCACCGAGCGGGGCCATCGCTGACTACCTCTTCGTCATCGTCGGGCCCGGGAGCAAGCCGAGGGTCCTTCTACTGGGCCGGCCGAATGGATGGCGGGTCTGGTGGAGCGAACACCTTCTTGTCCTTCGGCCAGTTCCTCAACGACAGGCCGGGCGAGTCGATGGCGGGCGAGCTCTTCGTGGGAGTGACTACGCAGGGATGCCACGGCCTGGTGGACACTGCGGCTCAGGAAGGCCTGGTGGGTCGTCCGGCCCTTCTTCGTTTGCTGGACCTTTTGAGGCCCCTAGGCCTAAAAGGCTGCTGGACGGACAAGGCCACCCAGGCACGCGGCATTGGAGGCGCAGCAAAAACAGTCGGCGTGTGCGAAGTTCCCATCGGCCTCGGTGGAGTTCCAGGAGTGCTTGAGCTGACAGTCGTAGCCGAAGACGTGCCATTGCTGTTGCCGGTTAGTCTCTTGAGGGCCTTGGGTTCAGTCATTGATCTAAGCAAAGACAAGATCACCTTCAGCAAAGTGAATGGAGAGTGCAACATGACGACTCTTCCCTCAGGGCACGCAGCTGTGGATGTGCTTGACTTCGGTCCTGAAGGTTGGGTGATGCCTTCCGCGTGTGCAGGGCGTCGTATGGAGTCCGACTTTCGCACTGGGCAGGTTTTTGGCTCGAGACCAAAGACTACAAGATCGCCCAAGACTCTCAAGTCCGAGGCCTATGCTAGCTTCGCGTGCCCTGCAGCAGCAGCAGGGGCGGCAGCAGAATCCATGGCAGCTAGTGCGGAATCCCGTCAGCCGGCCAAGGCTCGCCGTCCGAAACTGGCGGGTTTTGTTGGACAAACTCTGCTCGCTGCTGGCCTGGGGATACTGGCAAACCGTGGTGTCACCGTGGCTCTCTCTTCCCGGGCCAGAGTCGCAGCAGCAGCCCAGCCCTACGGATACCCCTTCGCCAGCGACCTTGACTACGAGTTCGGCTACCAGCAGGGGCCAGATGTACAAGAACTACCTGGAAGGCGAGAGGCCCGAACAGCTGGCTTCGGTGAAAGGCGTGCCGACTCAAGAGATTGGCCGCTGTGCTCACCCAGCTCAGCAGCTCAAAGGAGGAGGCAATGGACACATGAACTGGTTCCACTGCAACCTGTGCAAGGCTCGATGGAAACTCAGCCCGAGAACAGCCGGAGCTTTGACCGGCCGACCAGTGGAGACCGTGAACCAGTCGAAGGAGAAGACCCTCAACTTGGCGGAGAACGCTCTGAAACAACAAGAGAAGCGAATGGCCCAGAAGCACCAGGTGGAGATGGGAAACCTGATGCAGCAGCTGGCGGACGAGCGCGCCAGGAGCGACGAGCTGCAGACTACGCTGGACTTGCGCGAGGGCGAGTACCTGGAGTTCGAGAGGGCGGTGGAGAACGTGACCGCAATGGAGGCTCACCTGTCCGAGATGGACCCGACTACCGCGAACCAGGTGCAGGCAATGGTCTCCGAGTTCAAGAGAGTTCAGCGCTACGAGCAGGAGACCCGACATCGAGCGAACACGCTGCCCTTGCGAGAAACCAAGAGCGACTGGGAGCAAGCCGTGGCCACGATGAAGCAAGCGGTGGACATGGTGAACCAGTTCTACGCGCGCATGATGACCCAAAGAACCCAAGTGGCGAAGCAACTGGCAGGAATGTGAACGTAGGCCAGAACATCAGATCGTGGGATGGAACGCGAGTGTTGCAAAGTGCTACGCCTAACATGGTGCGTCGTTGGATGGCCAAGCCTCTTCCCTTCTTGGACGACTTTGTGGTGGTCTCCAAGAATGGTGTCCTGCAGCGAATGGACCGGCAGGACGTGGAGGGCCTGCGCAGCCTGGAAGACGAGGAGGTCTATGTGGTGGTCAAAGAGCCCGAGCTGTACTTGGAGCACCAGAGCGACGAGACCAAGATCGACAAGGCGAAGTCTGATCAGATCCTGGACTACCTCGTGGGGGCTAGTGCCGGGGTTGACGCCATGACCATAGACCTAAAGGGCGTCAACCAGAATGCGGTGTGGAAGGACATCGAGAGCCAAGGTCCCAAAGTAATATACCTGAACAAGGTGGCGTCGGAGCAGTCGTCGCTGGCTTGTCGCATCGCGAGACATCAGTGGAGGAAGGGCCGTGGCTTTGTAATCAGTGCCTTGGGGCCGCTGTCATCAGGCTTGAAGAACCTGAAGGAGGCCACTTCAGAAGGCACCGCGTCCTACCTGCTATACCGCAAGAAGTACCAGATCACAAACTTCAAGGACGCAGTCAAGTATGCCATGGCGAAGGGCAAGCCGCCCCGAGCGGAGGGGGCAATCATGGACTATAACCTCGAGTGCTTCCCCGGAGAGGTCGCAGAGCAGGACATCTTCGACGAGCTCGACCTTCGCCCGATGGACACAGTGGACGAACGTCCTGAAGACTCGGTCGTCCCGGTGGGTGAGCCTACAAGACAAGAAAGGGAGGCAGTGATGAAGCTGCATCGAAACTTGGGACACCCCAGCTTGGCGGATCTGGTGCGAACTCTGAAAGTGAGCCGAACACCAGACAGGATATGGCGTTGGGCGAAGGACAGCTTCAGATGTCCTACCTGCGCTGCCAGTAGAACTCCGAAGGCGCATAGGCCGGCGATGGTGCCCAGGTCGTACGCGCCCAACACCGTGGTCGCGATCGACCTCTTGCAGATGCCGAATTGGGATGCTTCCGGACAGAACTGGTACTTGAACATGATTTGCCTGGGCACCTCCTTCCAGATGGTGGAAAAGCTACGAAGCAAAGAGCCCGTGAGTGTGTGGGCGGCCTTTACCAGAACGTGGGGGCGCTTCTTAGGAATGCCACAGATCCTCCTTCTGGACCAAGGGCGAGAGTTCTTGGGCGAATTCGAGACCGATGCGCGGAACTAGGCGTGCTTCTGCACGTTATTGGGGCCAGGGCGCCGCACCAGAACGGGCGCTGTGAAAGGCATGGCGGCCTCTTCAAGCAGATGATGGAAAAGGCGAAGTGGCAGAATCCTCCGTGCTCAGAGGATGACCTCAGGTTGCTGACACGTGAGGTGGAAGCAGCCAAAAATCGCCTCTTCAATCGCTCCGGCTTTTCTCCAGCTCAAAGGATGCTGGGGCAGACAGCGCGGACCAATGGGGAGCTCATGTCGGACGATGCCATTGACCCCGCGCTGGTGAACCACGGTGAGGAGGTGGAAAGAGTGTTGGCAGCGCGCAGGGCTGCCCAGAAGGCCTTCGTGGAGACCAACCTGTCCGAGGCGGCTAAGCACGCTCTCCGAGCCAGGAATCGCGTGCGCCGAACTTTTCAGCCGGGAGAGATCGTCTACATTTGGCGGTCGTGGAAGGATAAAGGCGTGCTTAAGCCTAACTGGGTCGGGCCAGGCGTCGTTTTGATGCCTGAGGGAGCGAACTGCTACGTCAATGTGTTGGGCAGACTTTGGAAGGTCTGCAACGAGCACGTGCGGGAGGCCACGTCGGAGGAGGTTCGCGGAGTGGAAGCTGTGCACGAAGTGTTCCAGGACCTAAAGGAGCGCTTCAAGAAGTCGAGCAGTCGTTTAATCGAGGACCACACGGGCGACCCACTTCCACCAGGAGTTTCCCGAGGAGCCATAGTTCGCGAAGCTGGCGAAGATGAAGTGAGCGCAGAAGGCCTACATCGAGGGCTACCCCGAGTGAGGATTGACGAGCCGGAGACGCCCGTGGTGCCTATACCTATTCCGCCAGAAGAACTTCCCGATCCAGCGCAACTGCCAGAAACTCCAGTGCCAGAAGTCTCAGCAGAGCCAGCAAGGCAAGCATCAGCGCCGGAGCCCGAGGCAGAGATAGAGGTTCCCGAACTCCCCGTTCCTGAAGCTCCCGGTCGAGAAGAACGACTACGCGCAGCTGTGGACTCCGCGGTGCAGAGCCAGAGATTGGACGGTGTTCCCCCAAGAGCGCCAAGCAGGGCGGAGAGCAGCGCCGGGTATGAGCCGGTGCGATCTTCCCTGAGAAGGCAGCAGGAGCCGGGCAACCCATACTCGTTCTTTGGCCAGGATGAGTTTGAGGAAGGACCGACGCCAGTTCCACCTCGGCGACAAAGCGAAGTGCAGCGTGACACCTGGGAGCTAAAGCCGGCCCTGGGCGTCCTGAGAAGGCATCACGTTCGCTGGCGCAGCGCGATGTGCACACCCTGGGAGACGACGAGGCTGCCAGTCAAGCTGGAAGATCTCACAGGAGAGAGGAAGACGACGGCGAAGATGAAAGATGGAAGCGTGCAAGAAATGGAGGACGATTGGAAGAGTTTGAAACCCCAGCGAGATCTGAAGGCCAAATGGAAAGGCTTCACCGACTTCTATGTCACGAAGAAGGCCTTAAGGAACCTGAAGCATGTAACGTCGAAAGAGGTCCCCAACTTTGACGTGGAGACGACCGCAGCGTATACGTTCATGGTCCTCAATGCCGAGACCTTCGTCATGAAAAAGGTGGCGACGGATGAGGTAAGCGAGGCCGACATTCCCGAAGAGGAGT